ATGCAATATTCGATGAAGGTGACTACGTGGCCTATGACGTGCTAGATCAAATTGTACATCATTAAGTAATGGCTAATGAGTATCTTTCCGTTCTTATTATGATATTATGTAGTTTGATGATGTAGTGTTGTGCTATTCAACTATAACTGTTTTCTCTTGGCGGCCACTGCGAAATAGTAGGCATCCACCCATAAATGGTCAAGAGACCGGTTTTTGCTCGTAATTGAAGTATAGTGTGCAATGCGTATATTGTTTATATATATTTGTACAAGTTACCACGATTCCATCGTCTGACAGCACTGACGATGTCGTTGAATTACATTAAATAATGTCAATTTATTTAGTTCTATAGTATTATAGAGTTTAGACGTATAGTGTAATATAAAGATACCTACATAATTATAGTTTATATTTATTGCTAAAAATCTACATTAGATAACCATTGGACACGTATTCTTAGATTTACCAATTTAATAGTGGTTTACTTAAATTACCATCTTTGTGTCCAATTTTCTATTTAAGATAAATTCAGTTCACTATTTCGGGCATAAGAGTTTGTTAGTGACACAGTGTACGGTGTCATTTTCCGAAAGTCCTTCAGGTTTGCGAATTCCTACAGCTTTGTCATTCGTTATAATCAAGACATACAAATGCTAGACTTCATCTTCTTTATTACGATTTTCAAAGTTTTTAATTTTTATGCAAATTTTTTGCAAGTAAATGGTATTTATTTTCACAAATGGTCTCAAAACGGTAGGTATAATTTTGATAAAAACAATTTTTTTTAAATTCATACGTGTACCCCACACTTTATCCGCCCCATTGGATTTAGAATGCATTTTGACTAAATTTTCATTGTCTTTATTACTTTTATATTATGAACTTGAATGTTTGTTGGTATATGATTATTGTCTTTATTTATTTAAACGCATAAAACAATAAATACTTATAACTATAAATATATTTTTAGAAAAAAAATTTTAACATTGTTTTTTTTTTTTTTTTTTTATACATTAAATTATTTAAATTTAGGTATGTTTATTTTAATATAAATCATTACAGTTTTCATTAATTATTTTCGGGGTGTACAGTTTGGTATCTCAAATAAGGAACAGGAAGTAAAAACTGGTTTTGTTTAACAGGTCAATATGTTGATGCTCCTCTTCGGGATTTGCTGTTAATATGAAAGCAAATTATAATACATATGTGTGAATTTATTTATTGCCCGAGATCAATATTTTATGTATAATTATATTTAATAAAATTTCATTTTACTCTTCTAACCCACTTATGAATTATAATAACTACGATTCCTTGATCAAAATTATATCGATTAAATATTAAATTTATATTAAAAAATTTTTTTTTAATTTTTAAATATTTTTAAAAATAAAAATGTTGAACTGTAGGTAAAACAGAAATACAATTTTAAAATGTTAATTATATAAGTTAAGTTTAAAAATAATTATTTCTTTTGTTTTAAAAAGTCGTGAAAGTATTAGCAATATAATATATAATATATTATGTACATATGCAGTTAGTATGTAAATTATCAATGTTATAATACTATAGGTACTTAAGGAAAAAATGTTTATTATTTAAAAAAAAAAAAAAATAAAATAAAACTAATTATTATTGTTGGAGGTCTGTCTTTGTTTTGTTAAATTACTTGTGTTAAAAGTAGAAATTAACAATAAACAGCAAAAAATTATACATATTAATAATATAGTTATTATCGTTATTACTTTATACTAAGAGATATGTATGTAAAATATTAGGTACAAATTATATCGCTTTAAAATTGAAACATTGTCAAAAATAAATAAACATACTAGAATAATGTTTTTATATTTAAGTTTTATAATAAGTTAAGAAAATATATTAACACAAAATTGGTTCGTCTGTTAAGGTAAAATGTACTTTGTACCTAGTTATACGATACAACTTGTATCTATAGCTTATGTACATTTCCTTAACAGAGCTAGACTTGCGGGTGTGGCGTTCTCTTAATGTTAATAAATTCCAATTATATTGACACTTAAAACGATGAAGGTCTTATGAGGAAATTTGTAGAAATACATGAAAATTTATTTATTTATTTTTTAAATGCTAAAGATTTTGAAAAAACGAATTATGGTTGTATTATAATCTATTGATTTCTAAACTAAATAAAATGGGTTGTACTCATGTATATTTTGATAAATTGTCTAAGCACTTTTTAAATACTTTTTATTTTTAATTGTTTCCATACATATTTATAAATTTGATAAATTTCTATGGTTTTAAAAATGTAGTAGGGTACGAGTTGTACAATTAAACTAATCTATATTCTCGTTTGTAGAATTCATAAATGTATAATAAAAAGTTTAGTTAAAAAAATAATGATAATTGGTGTCAAAATAAATAATACATTTATTCTGTTTTTATAAATTGAGAATCCCTTATTGTAACTCCTGTTATAACCAAAACTTCTAATTTTTTATACATTTAATATGCGCCCTTCTCTATCAAATAAAAATAAAAACTAAAAGAAACTTGTTTTAATTTGTTTATCGTTTATTAATTTAAATGTGTTCTATAAAGAAGGGTATATTTAATGTATTTTGTATTTTGATGATGTTCCTTTCAATAAAATTACGATTTATTGTTTTGTGTAACTATTTTACTATTAAGCAATACAAGACATGTACAAATTAGACTAAATACAAGCTGTTAGGCATATAAATTAGAAAGAAGAAATAACTAAATGATTTTTAACTAAGCAACATGTTTAAAAATTAAGTTATTATATTTTACTTTCTAGAAACTATGTTCATAGTATGATATAATAAAACCATGTTTTTTTACTGAATCCATTACTTACTTTTTTTCAATAAAAATTCCAAAATAAATGATTGATTTTGGTGGAAAATTGAATTGTTTGCGTGTTTCTTTTACGATAAGACCAAGTTGAGTACGTAAAAAGTTGAACAAATAATCGATTTTTAGTAAAAATACTAAAAGTATATTACTACATAGTAAATTATTCGGTTTACTATGGGTTTTCTTAATGGAATTTGAATACTATATTAGTTATATAGTTATAAATAATTATAATTTGATAAATATGTATAATAATCCATATAAAATAATATCCAATAGTTTGCATCTAAGTCATTTCTACGACCAATAAAAAATAAAACTAAAAATAATAAAAATAAAATAAATAATTAAAATTATCTACTTTTGTTTTCTTAAACTTGAAATTTTTTGGTATTTAAAAATCTGGCCATATTTACTGATTATTAAATATTTCACTCATATTTTGTTGCAAAAACAACATATGCAACTCCACTGTCTCGAGAAAACCACGCTCGCAATTCGACCTAGATAATGATTTTCGCACGCTGTAATTAGAAAACACCGAATCCAATAATTCAATGACTCTTGGGAAAAAGTACTATTACTATGGTTTTATGTCATTTACTGTAGGTATTTTTAATATATGAGTGTTTTATATAAACCAATATAACTGATATATTAAACGTGTTTATACTTAGTTTATCATAAATACAATTGTATGTACTCTTTACGGGAAACGGGGAGCGAGTTAAATGATAAATTTCCATTTAATACAATTTTTAAAAATACAACAGGATTATTTAAGTCTTCTCTTAATTTTAATTTTGTTTGCTTAATAATAATAATTATTATTTTTATACAAATTAATTGATAGGTATTATTACATCAACTTATTTGAAATGTAATCATGTTATTATTAAGTACTTATACTTATAATTTTTGGAAGTAATAACAAAAAAAATGAACTATTATTATTATGAAAGGAGGCGTTATAAAAATTATAATTGGACAGCAGACAGATTTTCTCATATTTACATATTGCTCTTTATTAAACTTTACTAAGATAAAAAAATATGGACAATTTTCGAATAAAGAAATTGTAGAAAAATGTATTTAACAGATTATAATATATTTTAGAGAATATGTATTATTTATTCTATTTTTCATGATTCAAGATAATTCCATGTGATTGTCTTTAAAAATCATTATTACTTGTTCACTTATCAATTTTATATTTTTTTGGTCAATAAAAATAATTATGGTATTACATAATATTCAAGACTAGCTTACTTTATTTGCAGTCAAATTAGTATTTTTCATATTATTTCCCACGTTTCTCTACTTTTGATTATATTTCAATAACCATACTCAGTCATAAATTACATATAGTATTATATGGTAATTATGATGTATCTTTAACGATTTGTTTTTACAATTTAATAATTAGCATACATTTATAAATATATATTTGAAGTTTACTGAATATTTTTAAGTTTGAGCATCCATATTAATAAATATTGTGCTCTGTTAAAGCAATCTTAATTTAATTTTTTATTTGGTATTTTTTGTTGGATAAGAATAGACTATATAAATTAAAATTTACTAACTCTTAAAAAAATTAATAAAACAGTTCATGCAAAATTTATTAAATCAAATTATTGTAATTTAGTCGTTATCAAATAAAATTAAAACATATAGATCGAAAAATTTAAAATTTAATTTAAAACAAGGTAGATAGAAGTACCCACAACCACTCAAACGATCATTATAATATAGTTATCAGTTATCACGTTATATAGAAGCGGGAAACCATATTAAAGAACATCATATAAGGTATCACGATAATTATTAGCTTGTTACTGCAATTTATATTTGGCAAGGGTTTTATACAGACCATAGTCGATTTTAGTGACCGGAACAAAATTTCGTATTATGCATTATCGTATTAATAAAGTTTTATTATAAGTATACGTTATTTTCTTTCAAAAAAAGAGTCTGTGGATGCTCTCTTCCCTTACATTTTTAAGTCTAGTACACATTGTTAACTTATTTACTTATTATATTATTTTGTATTCATAGATTGTAAATATCTTTTATAAATAATAAACAAAAATTATCTTCTTAAAATATTATATTATATTGATAATTTTGAATTTCAGAATGGAACTCCAATGTGGGAAGACTTCATGGCAAAAGCCACAAAACTTCATACATGTCTTCGGTAAGTTTAATTATTAAAAGTTTAAAATAAACTATTTTATGAAATATTTTAAATAAATGAAGTTATCGCTATCAGTTATGACCTAGATACCTATAATATTTATGAATTTGAAAAATAAATTGCGTATACAAACATACAACTTTGAAAAATGAATCAAATTGGTACTTTGAGAACTAAAAAAAATATGATGAAAGAAAAATCTTGAAAATTTTAAAATTATTTTTTTGTAATTCATACTATGGCAATAATATCTAAAATATTTATATACACACACAATTTTTTTTATTTGCATTTAAAGTTAAAATTAAGACAATTGATATCAGCATAAAAGTTACTTATTTCCCCATTTTTTTTTTAAAAAAAATTTACCAAATAAATAATATTTTAAACAAGTGATAAAATATTATATCCTTGATGAAAAACTAAAATATGTATTATTTTTGTAATTTCTGATGTTATACGAACTGAAAAGAGCAAACATTCAAATTTAACTAAATACCCAATCATTCGATTATAATTAATAGATTATCTATTTATAATTAAATTAAATTGTATTATGTTTATTATCATTATTTTTAGTAAATAATAATATAAAATGTATTTAAAAAAAAAATTGATCTAATGTAGGTACATTGTACCCACTCTGCTGTACATTGGTAGCTGAATAGGTCACTGTAATGGATGAGTTAAATTTGAATTCAATCAGCTTAAATTACCAAGTATACATATCATGGTATATTTTTTACGTTTTTATTAAAGTAACAAAAATTGTTTGAGAAGAAATAGTTATTTTACGGGTAAATATGAAATGTTGTCCACATTTTAACTTTAAATGCTCATTAAATATAAATTTGACTTTCTAGTGAAATTTGTTTTAGTTAAGTTTGAAAACTTATAAAGAACCTTATATTTTTTTAATTTTATGTATGCATTTTTTTCTACAAAATAATTTGCTATTTATTTGAAATTAGTAACTTCTTCAGTTTTTTACGATATATTTTTTATTTTGTTTTAACTTCAAATTAATCTCGTATTAAATTTTTAATCTTTTCCTAACCTTTTAAAAATCAAAAATGTTAATTGTCTCATAGCTTTAAATGAATCAAAATATTTTGAAAATTTTACAATGTATAGAAAATGATAATATATATTTAAAATTAAAAATATCTATGGTTATTTGTTTTTTAATTAAAACGTTTTCTCAATTTTGTCGTTAACTAGTTTATGTGTATATATCTAATTAGGTTGTGGTTCAATTATAAATTATAAATTTTTTTTAATTAAAATACTCTGTTGGATTTCGATTCGAACTCAAAAATAAGAGTCCTAACAATCTACCTACTTAGAAATAAAAAACGTGTTTATTGTGCTTGTTATGTAAAAAAACATTGAAACCTTTAAAAAAGTATGCATTACGAAATTAGGCATTTTTGGTATTTTTATCGTTGTCGCATATACTTTTATATTATGGTTCTTTCAAAGTTATTTGTAACTTTAACATATAAATTATGCTCATAATTTATTAAAATATACATTTATTTAATTATTTTATTAATAAATATTACGTGTTATATTATTATTGATATTAGTATGCATGCGTATTATGCCTATAATATAGTCTGTTTTCTTAAGTGCTAATATTGTTTGGTTATTTATTTTTCCAATCTTTAAAAATAATTATTTATTATTTAATTTAAGTAGGTACTCAATTATTATTTGTTTAAAACTATAAACATAAGTAAGTATGCGTTACATTAACTATAATTATTATTTTTAGTGTTAACACATAAGTAATCAATATTTTTGTAATAATAATTATTAAACTCTGGTTCAGACTTAAATATATATATTTTTTTAGTTTAAATATAAATTAACTTTTATTTTAGTTAAGTAAAAAGTATTAAATGAATTTAACATTTTAAAAATTGAATGAAGTTTTAAATTTATATATATACAATATAATATGCATATATTATGTTGTATGATGAATTGTAATATTAATGAAATAACTATTTCCTTCACAACATAATTATCTTCTCATTGTAGATTTTAAGCAAAGCTTTTAGAGTAGTTTTATAATTTGTTTATAATTCTGTGAAATAACATTTTTGTTGTGTGGAAAAAAAATTTTAAGTTAATCTTTTACCTTGTAAATATAAAGTTAACTTTTTTTTAAATTAATTTAATTTTTATTTATAACTTTAAATTTATTACTATTCTACATTAAGTAAAAATGAGTGATGCAAAACTAGTAAATAATACAAAAGTCATCATCCGAAGAACAGATTTTTTTTAGTGATTTAATTGTCACTAAGATTAGTTGATTTATATTATAATGTATAGATTATTGTTAAAAATTAATTGTTTAATTTTTTATGGCAAGTTTGTTTAAACTCTTGGATTATATGTATCTACCTATGTAACTTATTTGCAATTAAAAGTTTATGATGAGTTCATAGTATTAAAATAATGTGATTATTATAATTATCTTTTTGCAGAGCAACTATTCACGCTATCGGAGCTTATCTAGATGCTTTTCAAAAAATTGCTGATGCTGCCACTAATGCCAGAGGTAATTTAATTTTTTAAATATTATTATTGTCCATAAAATTTAGCATAACATATTTTACTATACTCTTCAGGTTTTTAATTGTAATTATAACGATGAACTAAGTTTGATTATTGTAAATAATATTAATAAATATTTTGTATTTTATTCTTTGCATAAATTATAATATAAGAATGCTATTTAAGGAAAAAAAAAATTAAATACATTTCTAGTTCCCATCTTAAAATGTTCGTAGCATTATATAGATACTAATATATTTGTATATTTTAATTACCATGTCTGTACATATTGTAATATATTTAATTTACTAATTATTACTATATACTATAAAAAATAATAATTTAAAAGCCGTAAATATTATTTACGTATACATAATATGCTTTCTTCTATGATGTTTAGACATAGTACTCAGTCATTGAACGATACAGTATGCTCATGATAAAAAAGTACCACTAAATATTATTTCAGATAGATTACCAGTAAAAATACCTAAATACACATTTTAAACTTGAGAAACACTTTTGTTTCATACATACACAATATAACTTTTTTTAAATAGTGACGTAAATTTTTATTTTGCCAATCCAATCCAATTAGATTATTATTATTTTTAAATTAATTTTTTTATTAATTTTTTTTCTTAAGCTTCTTTTTAATCACACAATTTTAATTTATGAATTATTGGTGTTTAACGATATCCTGATGGTCTATCTGAATCTATCATTTATATATATATAAAAGAAAGGTGTTTAAAAAAGCAGTAAGTTGTATTGAACCACATTTCAATTCAAGGTAATCCAACTAAAATATTTAGTGGTAGGTACCTCCTACTATAAGTATGAACACTTATGCTGAAATTTGCTTAGTGATTTTATTATTATGTTTTTTTTCTGATAAATAAATTCTAATAAGAAAATACTTTTCGTATAATATTATTTCATGAAATATTAAATATATTTAATATTATTTCATAAATATTAAATTATATGCTTATTACTACACTGTCAGAGTTCTATTTCTTAGTCGTTAAGACTAAATAAATCAATAAATACCATATTATGTATGTATAAATATATAAGTTTAGAATTATAATAATGATTAATGAATAATAGAAAAGTGAACAGCCATTTTACACGCAACCTCAATGTAACTATTCTAATATTCTATAAAAATTATAAATCATGAACATTATTTATTTATTTAAAATTGACACTATTCCTAATTTTAAAAACTGAATTTCTATTTATTTTTGATGTTTTGAATTTAAGATAAATATCTTTTTGTTGTGTATTTAATCGACATTTTTTTTTTTTCAAATATTTAAAGAAAAATTTGTACTTATCAAGATTTTTTTTTCCAGTCTATTGAGTAAAACATGCTAAAAAATTATTATGAATGTATAAACTACGTTAATTATTGTCTTTATAAATGATTTATCTCACGCTTAATTAATTTTTAAAATTTAAAACTTAAAATCCCATGGTTTATAATATTTCAATAATTAATTTTCGTTTAAAATTATTTAATAACTAAATTAAGAAGATAATATAACCTATAGTGTTTATACATAACCATATGTGTATATTAAACCATTTTATATTTAATCAATTTATACTATATTTAAATTGCGTTATATATTGTTTTTTTGTTGTGTTAAAAATTTAAAACATAATATCATAATATTATATATTTTTTTTTTTGTAACTCGGGCTAACTATTCTTCATGGTAAAATATAAAATAGTATATATTTTATTTACGTATATATCAGGAAAAAAAGGTTATATTATAATTTTAATTATTCATTGGGTAACAAAAAATATGTTTGGTTTAATCAAACCATTAGAGCAAATCATCAATAGTACAAAAAAAATAATGTTATGCTGTCCAGCAAATAGCATTGTTTCCTTTCCGGTAAGGATTTCCATTTGAACGATCATTTCCTATACTGCGTGATAACTACTACAAATATCACTCTAATATTTGACGTATCTAACTTTTTGGGTTAGTCAGTCGTTTCAGCCCCTGATATAGTCACCCTTGTTTAAAGGGCTGTCGGTATTTTCCACGGGATTCTAACCCTCATACTGAATTTTATGACCTGGTTCCCCTTTTCATTTTTTCAAACAACCCTCAAATGATTTCCACACTCTTTAGATAACCTATTCTTAATCTTTTAGCACACCAAATATTTATTAATAATATTATTTTATTTTATTTTTTTACTAAAGAATATTTACAATCTATAGCATTATAATACATTATATATTATATTGTATAATAAACATATTTTCTGACATGAATTTGCATAAAGAAGAAGATTGTTCAGCAAAAGAATTTTCAAAAATAATAGTATTATAGCTGCGTTTAAAAACTTAACCTAATTGATATATCTTTCTAATAATTAATTTTTTTTTTTTTTTAATATATTTAAATCAATGTTGGATGTTGATGTTAATTATAATTGTAATTAAAAGTGTAGTTGAATATTGACTTAAATTAAAGTTTGTTTATTATCATGATATACTTACATTTAATTTTTATACTTGTTTGTCCAACGCAAACCTATCTTTAGTACAGTAAAATAATAATACACTCAATATCACAATTAGAGCGGAATGGAAATAAAACATATACTCCAAGTTTCATGGACAATAGTAAAAGTCAACACAAATTAAATATCTACTTATATAAATTTAAATTTTTTCTTAATTTACTGATCATCACATATAATATTCAACTTTCTTTAGAGAATTATGGTTTTAGAAGAACAAGAATGCTCTAAATCATTATATTTACTCCGCTATTTAGAACTGGATCAAGGAGGGGCTAAGAGGGGCTATAGCCTCGGATTGCAAGTTAAAAGGAGTCATAATGTATCAAATTCACCAAAAACAATTTGAGAAAAGGCGAGAGGGCTTCATTAAAAATAATAACCCTCTTATATTACCATCATAATACGGTCAATCCGCTATTGATTCGGAATTCATTATAACTTAGATGGGATTTTTAATTTAACATATTAATGCATATTATTGTATACTTTAATATTATGTCTTATGTACAATATATCAAATGGATATTATAGTTTAATAACTTACAATTTATGTTTATGACATATTTACACTAAGTGGCGTATTTACTATGTATGAAATTAATGCATACTTTTTACATTTATTAACATAGTGTTTAATTTCCTTGAATTTTTTACCTAAACAATCATCAGGCATATTTGATTTTTTTTATAGGCGCTACTAAAGAAATCGGAACTGCATTGACCAGAATGTGTCTTCGTCATAGAGCTGTTGAAGCTAGAATGAAAACATTTTCAAGGTAATACCCTAATATGAATTATAAGATAACACGCATTGTATACGAACACGAATACACATTTTGAATCTACTATATTGGGTGCTATCATAGTAGTGTACTAATGTAAATAAAACATGTAGACGTTAAATAATAATATGAGTAACAATATAATGTATTATACCTAAATTAATCTATTCTTATTTTATAAACAATTTATTTATTAACGTATTTCTATCATGATCATTGATAATATTAACTTAGTTAAGCATAATTTAGTATTTAAATAGATCAATATTTTGATCGAAATTTATTTTTTATCGTTTTATATCTACTTTTATTTATTAAGATTATTTAAAATAATATTAATTTGGTATAAATAATTCAAATAAGAAATAAGTCTGAGTAGTCTGACTATAATTTACTTGATTCTCTAGTAGTAATCATTGGCACCTTATCCTCTTGTCTGAATTGAATAGTGTATATGCTTCAAATGACAGTAGCTAGAACGTAACCGAAACTAACTTGTTTTTTTATTGAATTCGCAGCGCAATAATGGACTGTTTGGTGGTTCCGCTTCAAGAGAAACTAGAAGATTGGAAGAAGACTATTGTCAATCTAGACAAAGAGCATGCTAAAGGTAAATAAACCTAATGTTATTTCTCCATTTTTAAAATATTTTTCTTTAAAAACATTTTAACTATTTAAAACTATACTATATCCTTAAAAACTCTAAAAATATTTCTTCCAATATTGAATTACAAAAATTAATATTTAGTGTAAAACATTTTAAATATAAATATGTATTATTCGATTTATTGTATTTTAATACTAAATTAAAATTAATACCAATTATTTACATAAAGTTAGATAAATATTTATCATATCTACTCGTATTATGATAATAATATAGGCTATAAGAAATATTTGTTCGGCTTTAAAATTATTATAATTTATAATGAATGCTTATATGGGGTACGCGAAGTGTTTATAATTAAATTAATAGTTCCTAATAAAAATGTATTAAATTAGTGTATATTCAGTATTACATGAAGTACCTATTTACTATAGAAAAAATAAATAGCCAATCCAAGAAATATTTTAAAATTAAATAAGCTATAATTAATAATAGTATACATCTATTTTATGTATTGCCATGTTTCTGATAATAGACTATACTATGTTTATAATAATATAGCTATGCCATAATATAAATTATTTAATTTAATTAAAATTTTAAATAACTTATTTTTGCATATTTAAGCATATTTCTGATAAAAATGTGTATAATACATGATTTTTGGTAAAATTTGTTATCTCTTATAAAAAGTAAAAACGAGTAATGTGATAACATTTTAGATTTTTTATAAGCTTATACATTGTAGTAATTATTTATATTCTTATTTGATTATAATTTTAAAAATACCTTAATATCTATATATTTTTTATAGTAAAAAATTGCTTTTTTCATTGATATATAAATTATACTTAAACTTTAATTTTAAGTTTAACCAACAAATCTGAACATTGAATAGAATTTTTATAAATTGTGATATGTAGAAACCTATAAGTAAACATATCATTAGCCATTCTTAATTTAAACAAATACATTTTTAAATTTGTATATACTTTTGAATAGTGAAGTTTTACTTAATTGTAATATGATTCTGTTGTTTACGTACTAAACTTTAAGTCAAATATAAATGTCTAATTTCTTATAAGTGAGGAATGACAACTTCCTTAAATAAACTCAAAATATTCTTATAACTTGTTATTTTTAATTTGACGAGTTCCTAGGAATATGAATAGTCAAATAAATTCAATGGGTAGCAAATTAATGTATTTTTATTGTCTTACGAAATAATGTAGTTATTTCTTTTTATGCTGTATCAAATATGAGTTTTGAGTGATTTTTTTAAATAATTTATGTTTAATATGCCTAAAAAATATTAAAAACTATTTTCATATATTTTATTTGTCAAATTAATGAATTTATTGACATTAATTAATATTAATTAATCTATAATTTGAAAATACAATTTAAACATCAGTCTTATAGATATTGTATACTGATGAATATATTGAGGTTTATTGAGTTGAATTTGCATATATACGAAGACATTTTTATGACACAGATAAAAAACATATACTTTTTTCTGTCAATAAAGCCAACTTGCATATTATTATATATATATATATATATTTTTTTTTTTATATATATAACGATAATATGAATAAAATACTAATCCAACATTTTCATTTACATAAATTATTTCTATTGTTCATTATAGAGTATGCATTTTTTTTACATTTTTAAACAGTTTTATTATATCTACCTATAACCTATTTTATTATTTAGTTTGATCTCTTATCTACATACATAGTATTATACACTTATATTTGTAAATAATTATTATTTATTGTGATAAACATATAGGTATTATATAGTTAAATTGTATTTACAAAACGTAAACATATAGATGTGCAATTCATAAATAATGTTATAGTCATATTTCATATGAAAGTTTTAAGCAGCGTTGTTTTTTTGTTTTTTTTTTTTTTTTGGTAAACGAACTTCATATGAATAAAATTCAAGACTTAAAATCGAATCGAAAATTATATATTTTGTTATGAAACTATTATTCTTTTAGAGCACTCATCTCATTTTTATCACTTCAACGCTAGATTTTTATAATAATAAAATAATTTATTATAAAAAATTTGAAAAAATTGATTCTAAGCAAAGCTTTATATTAAAATAGTTACGCTGTATTACAGTAGACTATAAATATAAAGTAGAGATAACAATTCCAAAAAAATATCATCTGTAAGATTTTTTTTAAATTTAACAAAAAATAAAATAAGCTCATCAAATTAGTTGTCAGACTAGGAATATAAAATCCAACCAACATTTTTTTATTTGACACGCGATTACAAAAAAAATTAGTGAAATAGATTTTGAGTTCACCTCTTCATTGAGTATAATATCATAATTATGTAATTTATGTTAAAATCCTTTAAAATATTTATTTGAAAATTCTGGAAATTGTAATCAAATATAAATATCAAAGTTATTGCTATACTTTCACATGAATTTCTAAGTTATGTACTCGACAATTGATCAAATATACTATACAATAGAATTTTATGTAAATATACAAGTATATATTAAATTTGATAACTAAACTATGATATAACACTTTAAATTAAATGAGAAGAAATGCTCACCAGTGTAAGAAATCATCTGATTTAGGGGAAATTATCTATGTTTTTTTTTTTTAATTATTTTTATTGATTAATTAAAGAATTAATTTTCTTCGTTTTTTGTTTAATAATTTAAAAGTATGATTCCAAATTACTTGCTCAATTATACAGTACTCTTGTTATTTCAACAAACATTTTATGACCATTGAGTATCATTATTAATGATTGATATTTTTATACTTGCATTTAAAATTTAAATGCATATTTTTCTTCTTCTCGACTTACCATATTTGGATAACAACCATAAGAAAATTAATGATATTTAAATTTTGCGATAATAAACATAATACTTACTGTAAATTACAATTGAAAGTATAATTTTTGTCGTCAGAAGATATTACGTCAAATTATGTCATAGGTATTAAATAATTGCTTTTTAGTGACTTAATTATATATGTATGCATGTATTCTGTTAATACAGTAGTATTTTTTAAATTGGTTATTTTCAATGTTTATTCATATTGTGTTTTATGAATGTAAAAGATTACCGAAAAACGAAATACAGAACTTTCTCCGGAAGTAAAATAGATACAGAAAAAATAAAATTAATTGGTGTGGAAATAGTTTTTTACCTGCTAGATCTAGTTCAACACACAATATAATGTATGTTTCTCAGTTATTATAACATTATAGTATACACCGAGAACACGTGCCTGATATAACACGAAGTAAATAAGCATAATACACACATTAAAAATATATATATATATAAATTAAAAAAAAAAATCAAACGCTCACGTAGAAAACTGACGACGATTTTTGTCGATTTGTAGCATTGCTGTCCGCCGACATCCGTGCGTTGGCGAAGCGCGTGGTGTAGGCGTATCGGTCCACGCTCACACCAAACCGCCACGGCAACGTTGTTTTCCGCGCTGAGTTTGTATATAATATAGTAATATCTGTATAATGCTATTCGTATTACCACATGTCTAGTTAAATATTTCACACGACAACTAAATAGGGAGTTTATCGATTTTTACACAGAAGCTCTTTGTTGACTGTTTATATCTATATTTTTCTTCTGTAAAGTATTTAAAGACACGAAATGACGTTCATAAAATCTTTTTATTTTCTCAATCATATAATAATTTCGCAATCGTACATACAATACCGTATGCTACAGGTCAAACATAATGTTTATTTTAACAAAAAGTATGAACACCCAAAACAACAAAAAATGTAATTGGACGAATCAATTTAATTTTACCTACAAACAACAAAGTAAATTCTTACTGTTATTTTTTAAACACAATTTATTGTCATATGTATAAATAGTATAGTGACTAGTGAATGAAATACTTTAATATTTGTACTCATTGTAATATTTATATTATGCCATATATTTAATACATAAATTAGATTAGATGTCTGGTTTTTATAATAGAAATATTGCAAGGTATTATCAGTAACAAAATACTTACAAAGAATCTATTTTATTAAAACGATATAACAGAAGTGTATTTCAAAATGTATTTTTTAAGTTGACATCATATTACAACTTGTAAGCTTCCATGTTTAATTCAATAAATGAAATAAATGATTATTTTATATGTACATATATTTTTATACAAACTAAAATATCACGTACATTTTATTCTATTAAGTATAAATATAGTCAAGGATTTTGGTGTATATTATGATTTTCTTTCTTTCTCTAACCAACACACATCATATAGGACAATTGCGTTCAGACGATCCAATTTTATGTTGTTATAATATTAGAGTAAATTGTCCTATTATTATCAAGAAACATTTTTTATTAAATTTAATAGCGATTAGTGAGATTAGTTAAAACCATTACAGCTCAACAATTAACAATTTAATCCGATTAATATGATAGAAAATTGAATATATTGCAATGGTCAAAATATATAAGCACAAAAGATAGGTAAATTATCAAACTTGAATGTAGGAATATTATTTAGGGCATTTCATAAGCTTTTATTGATGTTTTAATTTTAATGTAATTTATGACTATGTAAAATATTACAGCTGTAACTTAAAAATTTAATATTTACACAATATTATTAAATGCTTATAACCTGTTTTAAAATTAAATTAAAATATCAATAAAAGCTTATAAGGTGCCTTATATAATATTCTAGTCTTTATGTTTTGATAATAGATCTAATCTCTAATCACTCCAATATTAATGCTAACACTCAAATACGCTATACTTTGTTTGATTTAAAGAGAGAAAACTAATAGTGCGTTGACATCTTTAATCAATTTTATTTAAAAAGTATAACAGTTTGTGGTTAAAAATAGTTAAGCATCGATTATGAAAATAATTTATAAAATTAACAGTCTATTTTACAATTATGTAATCTCTCTACTGTTCTATTTTCTCATAATTTGTTCTTGAGTTTATTTAAAAAAATCATTACCAAACATTACTCCAGTAACGACTCCATTAGGTATAAAATGTAGGAAGAAAATTAAGACCTATAATATATAATTTAGATTTTATAATATATATTATTTTAGAATATTTTATGTTTATTCATTATTGAGAAAAAATATATATCTTTAAGCTATACTCAGTACCAATGAATAAATATAGTTCAGAAAACATTTTTAAATTTAAAATATATTGGACTTAACTATTATTCTAGACTAAACCTAATAATCACTATTTGCATACCGTTTATGGTACAAAGTTCTTATGCATTATTAATGAATTATAATATATCAAAATGATGATAACAAAAATTCAAATTAATCAAAATATATTATTATTATTATTGTTTACTATTAATTATAAAATTGATAAAAAACGATATGTTGAAGTACGTTTTACAACTAATTTAATGCATCAGGGTTGTGTCTATGATTTTAAAATTATTTTTAATAAAATGTATTTTTATTTTTTTTGTCATTTGTTTTTAAATTATTTAGCTTTTAATTATTATACAAAAGAATACCAATTTGTATTTAAAATGTTTATACCTAAAGAGTTTTTGGATTATTTTGATTGGAGTAAAGAGTTTTAATATTATATGGGTAAATAATTTAATTGTTATAAATGTATATTTGTATAGTTATTGATCTGAATAACGTTACATCTTTGGTCATTAGTTAAAGTTTTATTTTAACAATTCTATTCTATTATTAACATAACATGGAATATTCTTAATTAAAATTAAGTTTTATAATTTTGTTTCTTTAAAGAAGTTCATGAAATATCAATTTTTGACTGTCTGGTTGTAGTGATTTTTCTATACCTGTTGTAGTATTTAGTGCCAAATTTATTTTTACCTTCATATTATTTTCGGCATGATGTTATTTAAATGCTCAAATATTATTCATTCGTATATTTATAAACTTTTGTCTTTTACAGCTATTATAAATAAAATACAAAATATTTTTAACAAAAATTATGAAATTGTACCTATGTATTCAATTTATGATCATTGATTATATAGAAACGACGTATTTACAATGTACAAGTATATTTTGATTCTGTTCACCTATCCTAAGCCATTATTATAGTAACACTCGATAATTTAGAAAATATATAAATATAATATTCTACACTGCCTATACTATGTTAAAATCAATTTAGAATTCTCTTTTGGATTATAATATAGTATTATATTATATTTATACTATTTGGAATAAAAAATTAATTCTTTGTCAAATAAAATCATTGACATGAATTATATTATACCGCACCCGGTTCTAATGTAGTTTCAGTGCACAGAGGTATAAATTAGGAGTTTAGGGGTCCAATGTCGCCCATCTTTTGTCAACTCCCGTAGTATCTAGGACAAGAGTGAACAATTTCTCTTATTGCAATTTATCTCCATAATATTAGATGTTAGATGACAGATTAAGATATGATATTTTTCGGCTTGTGTACTATTCATTATTCGTGTACCGGCCAAGCCCACTCGCTTTCTTAGTTGCGTTCAAAGCATAAAAACAATTTGCACCAACAAACGACACTGCAACAGTGACACATAATGCATTGAAGTCAAGGATAACAATAAGAATCTCCTGATTTATAGATTAAAATATTATTGCAATATTACTCATTAAGTGTACACAAAAATAAACGAATAACCATCCAAAATTCGCTCTAATAATCGTCATTCTTCTTAGAAATTTAAATAAATTAAATAATAATTTTTTTTTCTTTGTTTAATTAAATAAAAAAATTCTGAATTTTATTAAATAATTTCTTGCATATTTTTTCCTGATTTAAGAATATTTTTTTTCAATAACATACTTCGATAAAATAAATAATTAATATATTTTAAGTTTATTATAGTTTAAATATTTATTATGACAATTTATTCCTATAGAACCAATTTTAAGATGATTTATTTTATTTATATCTAAGCGTATCTTATGTATAATTTATTATTTTAACCCTAAAAAATATTTAAGGTATAAAACGTTCTATATATTTTAAAAATAATTTATTAATTATTACTTATTAATCACACAAGTAGAATTTTTTTTTTTTTTGTGATTTGTAATTATTATATGTGTAACATAATATATTAATATAATATTAGTATGTAATTCAGAAGTATAGATAAAATAATTTTTATGATTTAAATGAAAATGACAAATTCTATTATCTTCATAATAACATATTTAAAATTAACAAATGGATAAAAAAAAATATGTATTTAAATGTAATTTTAATCGCAGTTATATATTTCTAAATTATATATTAAACTATGATGCGCTTATTATTTATTGTATTACTGTTAATAACTTCTTTTCATTCATTAAAATCATCATTAATGTGTATTTTTCAGAATATAAAAAAGCAAGAGCTGAGTTAAAAAAACGCTCTACAGATACACTGCGCTTACAAAAAAAAGCACGCAAAGGTGCTAAAATGAATGAACTGCATAAAGCCTTGCAAGACGTTTCTGATAGAAAAGCTGTACTGGAAGAAACAGAGAAAAGAGCTGTCCGTGAAGCATTAATCGAAGAACGAAGTCGATATTGTATTTTTGTAACAATTTTGAAACCAGTCCTTGTAAATTTAATATATTTTTTTAAATTGCTTATAAGATAAAAATTAGAATGTTTTAAACTTAATTGTGTATGATATTTTATAATTAGGAAGAAGAAGTGGCCATGCTTATGGAATTATCCCATTTACAAGAAGTTATGGATAAATTAGAAGCACACACCACTGAGCCATACTCTTTACCTCCAGCTAGTGAACAGGTAAATACGAGTATAGTATATTATTGATTTATTATTTCAGCTCTTCATGTATATATTTGATTGCAGTGTGATGTTTATTTATTTATTTAATTTGAAGACAATTTAGTTAGATGACATTTTAAATTAAATTATAATTTAATGATTAATTATACTGGGGTTTTAAAATGTTGGTTTTTACTTTGAATATAGTTTGTCATCTATATCATTTTTTAGTCGCACAGTGCAAAGAATTAGTTCTACTGTTATGTGCTTTAAGAACAAAAAGAAAGTTTTGAATACTTTTATATAATAGTCTCCCTGTGATCTTATAAATTTAAAAATTTGTGTAAGATACTTTGAATGATAACTTTTAAATTTCTAGTTTAAAATCCATTTAATTTACATAGTAAAAACACTACATAAGGATACGTTAAGTATTATTTTATTGGGAATTAAAACCTGTTAGTATAAATGTATAATTTTAAGCTTAATTTTGCTATAAATTTTCAAAGTAATACGAGTAAAAATAAAAAATAAAATGATTTGTTGAATTCGAGGATTTTTACTAATTTGACCACAATATTAATAAATATTGATTAAATAATGTCTATAAAAAAATAATTCCTTTTAATGTCATACAATTATGTGCAAGATTTATTTGTACAATATTTCAACTAAATTCAATCAATTTCGAAAAGCATTACTTGTATTATTTTTATGAGAGTTAAAATATAATAATACTTATTTTATATATTAAAAAAAAATATTTATTTGAAAGCAATGATTTATAGTTATTTTCAAGTGTATAAAAATAATAAAATTTTTACTCATCTTGCATTTCATTTCTATTAATTACCCGATTTTTATAGAATATATTTAGTATTTAATATATGTATTGATTTACAATAAACATAAAGCTTGTGTGAAATTAAACGTTACCTAATAGTTAATCACATTCACATTTATATTTTTCGAATGATATATATCATAAAGTATAAAGCATCAATTTTCAAGTTTGATGGTAGTTTTTAATAGCTCAATGAATCTAAATTGTATTATTAAGACGTCAAAATTAAAGAAAAATGAGAAATTTTATGTTTAACCAGTTTTTAATAAATTCATATTATTTTGTGCAATTTAAAAACAAATAACTGTAAATACGTGAAATTTGTACAAAATTTTTATATCATAATTTTATATACATGACACAATTTTTGAGCTAATTATAAGTATGATAAATTTTTGATTTAGTTTCTTTTTCAATTATTGTTAATAACATTTTTTTTCACTAGTTTTAAAAGCTTAACCATTTTATACTATGAGTTACTAATAGATAGTTTAAATTTTATAACTAAGATTTATGTGAGCACAATTGTTTATAAATATTTTAATTCCAATTTTGAACGAAATTACGTGCTTAAACGAAGAATAACAATGTTAGTTATTTTGTTTTAATCCAAAAGCAAATATTCCTGAGGACTTTTACGTATATTATGAATTTTAGTATATGCAATGAAATTTTCAAAATATATAGATTTGTTTTTAATGATAACCAATTTATATCATGAACTTATTCACACTCGTTCATGAAAAGATGGCATTGACTTAAGAGTTAATAACAATATTATAATATAGGTATTATAAAATAATAAAATCAACCAACCGTAATACCAATAGTAAAATAATAAACTACTTTAATAGTAAAAACATATCACTTCACTTAATTATAAATACTGACTGACAGATTTCGTTCAGAATTATATTTTACGTACCTATTGAACGTTATTGAATTAAATTTTCAAGTAAAACTTTTTAAACGCTAATTAATAATAATAATATTAATAAATCAGCTATTGAAAATATTATGAAAATATTAATATGTAATGTTTAAGAAAAGAAAAAATTCGTAATTTTAAATAATTTTTTCGTTAAAAATGAATAAAATTAAACTTCGTATATGTTATTGACATTAATTTTCAATGCATCCAATTTAATCATATATCGAATTTTATTGTGTATAGTTTATAATTTATACCTCTACTTCTAATTAAAATGCACAGCATTATTAACTTATTTCTAGTTCCCTTAGCATTAAAAATATATATTTTGTGTTAAGGTTTTAATACATTAATGTTCATTAGGTGCTGGTTGACTATAAAGGTAGTGAAATGTCATGGACACATCAAACACCTCCCAGTAGTCCCAGTTCGTTGGGTTCACGTAAATCCAGTATGTGTTCCATCAATTCAATAAACAGCTGGTCTAGCGGCAGTACACATTCTCCAAGCCATCAATACTGGAGCCGCTCATTGCTTCAGGTATTGATTTGGATAGACATTAATCGACAAAAAGAAAAATTACATACAATAGCATGAGTTTTTTTTTTACGTATTATCATTGTGTTTTTATTAATTAAATTGCATGGTTGTAGTTGAATTAAGATTATTTATAATTTTTTATGGCTCTAGGAAATACAATTGAATGTACAAATTTTTAAAACATAACTATCTATTATTTAAAATTAATACAATATTTAATGCAAAACTTAAAACTAATCATTCCACTATTTTTATACTTAAAACATTTTTTCAATTGGGTAAGTTTATAATTTATTTTTCAATCATTGCCCATTGGTTATATTATTGGACATTCGATGAATAATAGAAAAATATGAATGGTCAAAAAATACTATTTCCTACATTTTATAAATTGAGTGGTTTTTTTACTTTAAAAGCTTAAACCTGTCATTGAAATTTTTCAAACTAAATAATTTGGGATTCCTAAATGATTCTTAAATAGTTTATAAAAAATAAATTGAATAAAATCGTATTGTTTTAGTTTTAGTATTACCTAGTATTTTTATTTTTATTTTTGTTCTCTGGTGTATGAAATTTAAGAAATATAGAAGTATATATATATTATTTTATTTTTTGATTATATGTAGTTATTCAAGCATGTTTTTTTTTGTGTGTGTGTGTGTGTGCGTGATAATTTAGCCAGCATCGAATGAGCTACGCTACAAAGGACCTTTACCTCCTAGTAGATTATGCAGTGCTTCATCTCATGATTCAGGGTTTACATCCCAAGACACAATATATACAAAACAACAATCATATTCAAAGGTGAGTGTCTAATGAAAGACAATTGAATTTGACTGTTGTATTATATTTTCTAGAACCATTGCACAAAATTTTAATATTATTGTTTCATAGCTTATTTTATTTTAATATATTATTATCCTTAGGCCCCTAACTCATCAGATTCCAATAGTAGCAGTGCTGGAAGCAGTACACCATCTACACCATTTGCTAGTTCTGAAGGTGGATGTGGCACATGGCCCAATGCTCAGGAAACATTACAATTTGAACGTGCTGCGTCAGCCATTATGAATGATGCAAGACCACATACTATTTCAGGTGGTGCCCACCATCTACGACCAGCTCTTAGCGCTTACACATTTCAACCTGATTCTTCTTCTATTGATAAAACTCCCGTTGTCTCACCACAAGACGATTATGCTCATGTCCCTGATGTCCCATCCAGAGATATGCATAAAAGTTATAAACCAACCTCACTAAAAACGATTGGTTTGTAAAAAAAAAATAATATATTTCTTATAATCACACTATTTTATGTTTAGTTTTTGAAAAAAGAAGATATTTTTTTTAAATATTATATTTATTTTGAAGATGCATTTAAAATATTACCATTTTTAATTTTTATAAACTTTATACATAGTTAATTATATAATAATTTAAACATTAAATATAATTAAATGAAGGTTTTATTTTTATTCTAAAATATGTTATAATATAGGTAATCTGTAAAAACAATGTTTATTTATTTTTAAATCCAGAACTGATATAGGAAAATTTGTTGGTTGTACAATAAATTACATAATTTTTATATAACAAAATAAAAGTGTTGGAGTTATAATTGTACACAGGGTATACTTTAAAAATATTATTTTTTTTGTTTTTCTGGTACTCAATAGATCATATTTTCTAACGTAGTATAGTATTAAACCAATAGGAAAATACCTAGCATCTCTGAATTATAATTTTTAAATTCAATGTTTAACTATAAATATATTGATTTTACAATATTTTGTATTACTTATTTTTAGAGCAATTCAAACATTTATTTGTACCTTCAAGTATAGATAATTCTAATGTTTTTGATTAAAGTAACTTTAGAATAATAATTTCATGATTAATAATTCAATATTCATACAGTTTTGTTCTAAATAAGAAGCTTTTAATAATATAAACAAATTGAAAAAAATGTAATTCTGTTTGGAAATTAAAATTTTAACCAAAATCTTAATTTTAAATCACTCTTACCATTTTTTTCATTTCAAAAATTATTATAAATTTATTTGCTTTTAAATTACACTTGTGATTTTTATAATTTATTGTTATATGTATTTTGTTTAGAATATATTCAACCAACATATGTCAATATGCATGAACTGGCTAATATGGCTGCCAACAAAGCTCAAGAAAGAAATTCACTCCACAATGAGTCTTCATCAATTGTAAATTTAAAAGTAATTTATCATTATTATTAGTATGATGAACAGCAATAAAATAATCAAAATCTACTTAGTTTTACTTAGTTAAAAATCACTAATTTTGTAAGAAAATCTAATTTTAGAATTTGTTGAGAATGGAACACATATTGAGATCTGACAGACAAAAAAAACTATAATAAACTTCAAATAAAAAAAAATTAAAACATTTTTGAAGCAATATTTTGAATAGATTTTAATTTATTAAAATGTTTTATTTTATTGTATATTTATTTAATTAATGTTTTTTTTTTTTTAAATACAGAATGATGGAGAACGAAAGGAGAGCACTAGTGAAAGTTCTCTGGAGTCTTCAAGCGGCTACAGTAGTCAAACAGCAATATCAAATGCCACTCCAGATGAAGGTAATTATATGTATAGTTGAATTATTAATTTTATTTGAAGAAAAAAATAGTAAAATAGTTGCACATTGCTTATTAGTACAGATGACTTTGAAAAGTATACTATAGATTAATGATTGTTGAGTATTTATTTTTCCCTAAAAATTCTATTATAATTAGTCTTCCTTTTTTAGTTAATTTAGTTAATACTTTTCACATCTTTATGTTAATTACTTTAGGTAATTAATTTCTAATTCTTTTTATCATTTATTTTCATTATTTTAGTAATAAAACATTATATAAGCATATAACAATAACAGATATATGATATATTAACTAGATAACTGTCTTTATATTATAAACTATGTAATATATTGAAGTTTGAAATTAGTTATCAAAAAGATGTATGATTAGTGATTATGAAAACTACATACATATTAACACTAAGTGTTTACAGCAAATAATGCATACTGTCAGAATATTCTTACAGATATATAATTTACATTATACATTCACCTCATTGATAACAAATTGTATGTCTCAATAATAACATGAAGACATCAATCTAGTTAGTATCTCTAATAACAACTTTAAAAAATACTTTATGATAATTCATGTAATATTCTTAACAATTTAATATTTTCTGAAAGAATTATATTTCATAAAAAATCAAAACTGTTATTCTTTAGAGACCAAATTATGGTAATTAAATGACAATTATTTGTATATAATACTTAAAAATCACTTGTAATTTGAATTTTTCATATTTCATCTTATTCTATTGTGCTTGCTTGTATATATCTGTTTGTATTTTATTTAGAAGTGGAAAATTCACTTTTGAAATATTGTACTTTGGATAGTCAAAATAGTATTACCATCAAAGAACGTGTACGGCCTGTATCTACATTGGGTATGTATTCCCAATGAAGTAATTTAGTATAGTTTTATAAAAACATTCTTTTTTTTTTTTTAAATAAAAGGTTTTCCTTAACTTCACGATAATTTACAATAAAAATATTTTTCTTAATATTAGGAATATAAGATATTTAAAATCTAAATTCTAAATTATTTATTTTAAAGCTAAAGAACAAATTTGAATGTATTCACTCTTACAACTATAAACTCATAAATCATAACTAAGCTGTTGATTTAAAAAAAAAAAAAAAAAAAAAGTGTCCTTAAAAATATTTAAATATAATGTTTAATACAAAATATTGAACAGAATTCTATTCCTATTATTTTCATTTATATTTGTGTAATTTATGGCGTTATGGAAATTGATGAAATTCATAAAACTATCAATATATGTGATATATATATATATATATACTTGTATCTGCACATAATAATAATTTTGCTTGTCACAATGTTATGCAGCAGCCAACAAATTTATCTAGCATATAGATGAAAATATAACACATAATAAAAATATGTAAAAATAGCAAAATAAATAATACTATTTTTCTTGTTACTGCAATAGTTTATGCTTAATTTATATCAGATTTTATCCATTATTAAACAATATAAGAAAAATATATTTTAATATAAAAATAAATCAAACATAACTTTCATTTTTAAGCATTTGTTGTATGAAACAAATGTTGTGCTTAGTAAGCTATATTTTAAAATAATAATATATATATATATATATGTATTTATTTATACAAATATTTTTGTGATTTAATTATTGATTAGAAATTATCAAAAAAATGTATCAATAGCAAAATATTTTAATTTAAAATTTAAATATCTGCTATGAAAAACATCAAAATAAGAATGATAGTTGGCAACAACTAGTTTTTGTCAGGTAACATCCGTTTTTCACTCCTTCGTGTTAATTATTATTTGTAAGTTTACTATCAGTGGCACATACAGGGAGAGTTAGGGGTGGGTGACTAGTTCTGTGTAAATTTAGATGTTATTTCAATGAATTTTTATTTGATATTATACCAAAAATACTAAAAACACTTAAAAATAAGAATTATACTTTGCCAAAACTCAGATTTTACTGGTGGAGTGGATGGGTACCTCGAGATATATACTTTTGACTCCCTTGTAAAAAATCTGCTGTGTGTCACTGCCTACTACCGTGTTTCATACTCGAGTAAGTCGTGCCCCTGTGCACAAATCAGTTGCTGATTACTATTCTAATTTATAATAGATTATAATAGTACATACAATAATAAGTTAAACAATATTGGTTTGAATAAATAACAACCATACCTATTTTTCATGTTGTTAACATTTTCAAATTAAATAAGATAATATTTTGAAATTTATTTATTTTTATTTTAGGTTATTCCAGTCTCAGAAGTGGTACACTGTGTCGTCGTTCTTCAATTCAAAGCAACAAGCCACCTCCACCAATACGCCGCACACCATCTATCTTAAACAATTCAGTTCAAAACCTTCCCCCTCCACCCCCATTTTTGCTGGATATTGCTGCAGAACAACGTCAGCAAAGTCGTTCACAAACATCTTTAACATCTGAAAAAGTATATTCTGAACCCATGACACATCAACGTAAATCATCTGGTGGAAGTGTGGCCGAAACTGTACGTAATCTAACTCAACTTAATCATACACCTGCAAGTCCTATTTTATTGCGCCGCACACCTAGTAATCGATCAACAAGTGCTGATCGCTGTAATAGCCATTCATCTGAACCAGTTACTGGGTTTATGGCAGCTATAGGCTCTAGACTACTACAACAGCAACCTAGAACATCAGGCGGTTCTCCTAAATTAACCAGACGTTGGATTGCTCCTGCTAGACATTCCGTTGTGGACCCAGCCACATGTCATGATTCACTGATGGAACAAATAAGGAAAGGTATGGTGTTAAGAAAGTCTATTGCTGTCAATGACAGATCAGCACCTAAAACTAATTAAGAGTTAATACATCAAGTTAATATTGTTTTCTCTTTGAATATTAATAATATTTATAATTTTATTTTGTAATACTTAATCAATTTAATTTAAATAGTAAATCCTAATATTATATTTATAATTTCAATTGTCTCACTTAGTTATTGGTTTTTGATTTATTCTAAAACTAAAATAATCCCACAAACTATAAAATCAATGTTAACATAATATTTCTAATAGTTATTCTGTGTTATAGAAATGTCTACTTCTAAAATAAAAGTATAAAAATACATTTAAAACTTGAAGCACATGTTATAAAAGAATATGTAGGTTTTTTCTTATTTCTTATGATTAAGTGTTTTTTGACCGAGGTGATAAAATACTATGTGTAAGCTCTATAAAATATTTTATGGATAACTTGGACTTGAGTTTAATGTATCAATATCATTCCAGACATGTATATTTTTTTTTACTAACACATTCCTTTGCTCTTGGTGATCACTTATAACTAAATGTTTATTACATAAATCTAAAAATCACATTTGGCATACCAGAATAATTATTCCAAAATCTATTAATTTAGATATTATTTTGTGTTTATAATTAATTATCTATGTATACACTTGTGTTCATCAATAAAACAATTATGTTCTGACTTTCAGTTAAAATTTAATTCTAATACATTATTATCTTTTTAGAAATATAATTATGTTTATGAAATAAAAAAAAATAAACAATTATTATACAAAACCAAAGTCAATTTGACATCCGTCTATAAACATTTATTAATACTTAACAAAATATATTAATGTACTGTATAACCTTTATTTATAATATTTTTTTGTAGTTGATTTTTTTTTTTTTTTTTGTAACAAATATTTATTTATTCTATGATGTTTTTTTGTGTATAGAAAATTGTGGATTTGTTTTAAGGGTTCATAATAACCGTTTGTTGTATGATTAATGAAAAATAAATGAAAAATAAAATTTATCTGTCTTTATTTACTTTTATATCTAATGAGTACCTATAGATGTCATAACTCAAGGCATCTAGTAAATATAATTACATTCAATATACATAATACATACAAGGTGATTTTTTAATCAAACATTAATTACTTTTTTAAAATCTATTTATGTTTTTGAAAATATTTTTGACCATTATAATTTTTTTTTTATTATTATTTTTTTTTTTTTGAAAGACAACATATTTTTTCATATCTTAAAACAGAATATTTTTTTGAATATTTCGATTTATAAAACTCGAAATGTATTCAAATAGTTTATTGGTTATAAATATAATGAGATGCTCCGCAAAATATTGGTCGACAACTCCGCTCACTTAAGCTTTAAATAAGTTAATAACGTTTATTTCTAATTATATTATGTTTATTAAGCAATTAAAAATGTATGTTGTCATTCAAAAAAGTAAAAAAATTCTAATAAATCCATATTTTTTTAACAAATGTTGTCTCGTTTCGACAGGAAATTATGTTGCCATGTTGGAAAAATATTTTCATAAACATTTATAGATTTTGAAATAGTTTTACAATAAAATAATCGCCTTTTAAATACGTGGGACTATGTAAGATTTTGTTGATTACTTTGAATTAAATATTATTTACCTATACTTTAGATATTCATTATTAGAGTTTAAAGGTTCTTATTATGTTGCTTTTATAACGTGATTTTTTTTTAGATTCTAAGACAAGTGATTAATGTATTGATTTTACAATGTGTTAGTTTTTTTGTGTGTGTATACATGATAAATAGCCGATGAAATGTTTCAATTTTTAACGTCGAGGATAGTTTTGGATAGAAAATTGGTTCTAATTTGTACTTTTTTGTGAGATCAAAATCAAAAGCTCTCAGATCGATTTATAATTGGGAAAAAGAAACAAAAAATTTAAAAAACTTGGAATTTTTAAAAATATTGATTATGTGCTTTGGTGTAATTCAAGAGCGAATAACTGTAGAGTGTAGATACTCTACACCAAATATTTAAATAATAGTTTTATATTTATGGTAAAATTTTCAAAATATTTCTTCTCTTTTAAAGGATGAGAAATTTTCTGTTTTTTTTTTTTTTTAGTGTTTATTCTAGAATCTAGAACTTCGATTAAAAATTATAAAAACATTATTCGTGAGAACTTAAAAGTTTTACGAATGTTTTATCATTATTAATTTTACTAAACCCAATGACAGTTTTTATTGATTTTAAAATTCTATCTATGTATTTTATATTATGAACACATTTTTATTGTTTGATAGTGTTTACAGAAAAATGTTATTAAATTTTGAATTATACAATTTGATATAATTATATACCTAGTTTATATATACCTATGTCCTTTATATATTATTATAATAATTTACTAATAAGTAATAATAATTCAGAATCTTTTTTTGCTTACCTGTTATTTTGTTTTTGCATATGCATCAATACTTAATAGTATTGATTCATTACCTTTTGGTTTTGAAGCAGTAAAAGTACTTAGATTTTCTACTTCATTATTTTTCTTTTTTTTTTTTTAGTAGAAAAGTAAACCAATTTGATACTTTGAAGAGTCAAAAGTAAAAAATCCTAATACTTTTGTTGATAATTGAAAATAACAAAAACGAATTTTGGGGAAAAAACATGAATATTTACGTAAAATCCGTTTTTGACGAAATTTATTTTCTTAGTTTGTTTTAATTCAAAAACAAACGACTGTAGACACTTGATTTTTTTACTATAGTTTTCTATTTTTTTATATATATAAAAATCGTAAATAAGTAATCTAAAAGTTCCTCATATATAGTTAAGATTTTTAAACTAAAACTTATATAAATGCAATTTTTATAGACATTTTAATTCCAAATTTGGATGAAATTAACATTTAAGCGAAGAAAAATAATGTTACTTAGTTATTTTGTCATGATCCAAAAGAAATATTCCTGAAGACATAACTATTACTTATATCATGAATTTTACTAAATGCAATAACATATTTTTCAAATTATGTAGATTTGTTGTAAACTATTATTTTTATGTATAATAAGGTGCCTGATATTATTTTTGAAGTCGTGACTACGCAAATGGCTAAATAAATGTTGTTTTTATTAATATTTTTTAAGTAATTATATTTTAAATAAATAATAATAATTTTTAGCGTATTTCAAATGTTATATTTAATCGTTTTAAGGAATACTCTGATTTTTTTTTTTTTAGTTTGCAAAATAATGGCTTAATGAATATTATTTCAATAAATACATAGTTTTTTGCCAAAAATCCATAAAGATATTGTGAATAGATTCGAGTATAGATAGTTTAAAATTAGTGCACCACAATATTTTTGAAAACGCCATTGTCGAGGCTAAGAAATTGTATATTATTGAAAACAAAATTACAAAAACAAATATTTCAAATATATACTATATTATATTATATATACATTGACTATTATAAAAACGTATAACTGTGTAGTTAGGGCTATGTACCTCTTATCTACCTGTATTTACGTACTATTCGTGTATGAAGTATAATAATATAAAATATACTAGCTTATATTATAATTTATAAGTTAACTTCCTCCCTCAACAAAATTTCAGGAGCCTTTCATGTTTGTCAAAATAATTTTTAAGAAACATCATAATTAAATTTTAAAAATATCATAAAAAACCTATACATTTCTCGCTCTGCTCTGAATCTAAAATCCATGAAAAAAAAAAAACAAACACTTAGATGCTTTATATAGAATTTCAGGAAATTTCCATAAACCAAAATAGAATGTTATGATAGATCAAATCTTTTTATTTTAAATTCAAATACAAATCATAGATGATATATATTAGATACATTATTTATTATTTTTATTATGTAAGAAAAAATACCTATATCATATCTATACAGTAATGTTGAATATTAAACAAAATGTATTGAATAAGAAGTATAAAAATTTTTTTAATTATTATTAATATTTATTAATTTATTATTATTATTATTGATATAAGTAAAAATATTATATTATATTGTATAAGACTAGTTACCTTCGGTATATTTAAAAGCGATCTTTAAATTATAATATACATTATACATACTCGTGTCTTGCATAAAAATTAAAAAAATAATAATTTTTCTAAGATAAAAAATATATGAAATAAAAAATATTAACACCAACCAAATCATGCATGTTTAATATGGTCCGTTTTTTTTTTTTTTTTTGTTAAAATTAAATGAAACAATTGTATTATTACTAAATTTAAGGATTTAGTTAACATATTATAATATATAATTCAATTTTAATTTTAGGTACCTACCTAATTATTACATTAAAAATCTTACTATAGGGGCCTCACCTCACCAAATTTTGTGCTATGCTACTGATTAAATTTGTATGTAAATTGACAAATATATTGCAAATTGCAAATATATTAGGTATAAAAACCTATATAAGAATGGAAGACGAACATCCCTCCTCGAAATGAAAATTTTTTTAATAAAAGCTGATTTAAAAAATATTATATCTGATTATTTTACACCATTTTCATCAATCGAATCTAATATTAACTATAATATCTAATATTGATATTACGTATTTACCTATATACCTGTTAAATTATTATTCTGTTTGAATATCTTTGAAAAAATTCAAATTATTTTTTAATGACTATTAGTTCTACATTGAGTGTTTAGTGTTACATTATATAAAAAAATAAAAATAATTTCAACATCTCAAATTGGTGTTGAAATATTAAATACAATTTTATGTTTATTAAACAAAGTAAATATTAATTCAATAAATTAAAAATTTGATGTGATTTCAAATAAATTTTCATATCTGCTCAATAAACAATTCTGAGAATCATTATTTAATAATATAATTTTCGTGTTTCAGGGGGCTTCAATTGTTTTATTTTTATCACATATATATTGTAAATACCTAACTGTTGATTTTTGTGTACTACTGTTTACTCGTATATTATGTTCTTATATATTATGCGTAAAAATTAACTATGTATATTGTATTATTTAATTGTCGAGCTATAATAGTTTTGTACTGAAAGCTAATAAAAAAAAGGGAAGCTCCGCCTCCTATAGGCCCCAAATTCACTAAGTTTAATGATACGTCACTAGTTATTACAATTATGGCATTAATTTAAAATAACTATTAATAAAAACCCATACAAAACAAAATAAACCACTAATAAACTTAAATATTTATGCGATGATTTACTTTTTTTGAAATAAGCACTAAATTTATTTAGTTTTGAATAATAATTAATAATTTTTTTAGTTTAAATTTCAATAATAAATACTAATATAGGAAAAACCTATTTTTTTTATACATATCATATTTTATTTTTTCTGAAGAATAAATTTCAAAACATTGTTATTTGGAACGCAACTAGTTTCTCTTTAAAAATTACAATCAAACAATATATATTATTCTACATATGATCTTGACGTTAACATATGTGTGTATTAAATGTATTTAATTCATAATTGTAACATTAATGTTTGTATACAAAATAGTTAGAATGTTAAACTACACTCTGTTCAATTGTGACAGTCACGCACATTATACGTCTCATATTCGAATCATCAAGATTATTTTCAATCGACGTCCAACAGTAACTCACCCAAACTTTCCTTGAGCCACATGATTTGTTGAGTATCTGAATAAGTGGTGATCGATTGTTCAGCCACGTTGTTTAGATTTATCGTCAAACAGCCAAACGACGATGGTGTCCGTAAAATGTTCCTTATGATTTATAAACTTGTTTATTATATTATATGATATATTTATTTGTATTTATATACATAAGTAGTATCCCATCTGTCTATATATAAATATATTTAGATAGGTATATCATATAGGTACTGGTCCAGAAATATATAATTTATTATTTCCTCCTAGATTGGCCATGGTGACATATCTGTATAACATCAGAAAAAAGTGTAGATAAAATAATACAATTTATATAATATATTATATACTCAAGAATTTGTTTTTCCAAAGCTAATTTTGCTAGTCGATTTTTGTATTTAAAAAAAAAAAATGATTAAATATTATGTAATTATAATATTAGTGAAAATACTATCATATTAAATAGGTAAGTACTTCAAACTAAATTAAATCATTTTTTTTTTTCAATACAAGAATAAAGAAAATAATTACCAAATTGGTTCTTGTTTGGAGAGGTTTTATCAAAATATGAACTAAATTAGTTAAATTTGAGACAATATTTTAATAATATAGTCCTACCTAACTGTTGTCGAATTAATTTCGGCATAAGATGATCAAGTATTAATAGTACTATGCATATTAGTATTACCATTTGTTCAGGCTTTGGAGTTTAAATGAAATGCAAACTTCATTTGAAGCTCAATCTAAATTTAAATGGGTAATTTAAAACATAAAATAAAATTATCGATGTGATTTGAAACGAACTTTCTTCAATTAGATAGCTAAACTCGTAATGTTTCATTAGCGTTTACACTCAACCATCATACAAGTTTGCAAGTATTAATAAATTGTTGTATACCTTGTCTGTTGATTTAACAATAATGATAATAACCATTTAAATTACGTTGTATAATATTGTGATTGATTAATTAAAATCAAGTATAATATCCATTATATTCGGCTCAGGGGTGAATTGAAAAAGATAGGTAATTACTACTTATTGTACAAGAACCAATAAAGCCACTGAGGTAATTTTGATAACCATATTTTGGTATTAGCCAAAAAAATTACAAATAACTAAAATATTATTATAATCATCAAAATAGATCATCTGTTGACCGTTGTATGCGTATAAATGTAATAATATAAGCCCATGACCTTTTTAAACTAGGCATGATTGATGATAATGATGATGATGATAATAATAATAAAATATAACACTATTATTGATTTATATGGTTTTATACTTCAACTGTCTCGGCGGTAATGGTGGCGGTGCATCGTTTGTCTGTTCGATATTCGTATGCAACATATCTTCGTAATCCTCGTCTTCCTCGCTCTTCCCTTCGACGCATACGATTTCTTCATCTACTATGCCTTGTAAACGTTTACTGAGCAGGTGTTGGTCGATCTGCCTTAAATCTTGCATCGAGTTGGGCTCACTGTAACCAGGTGTGGCCAACAATAATCCAACGCTAGTCAACAGGAAATGTGACGAACTCTAAAAAATTTAAAAAAGAGCTAATATCTTATTGTTGGTAATACAATAAAAATTATAATTATCAATAATATTATAATAAATAAGTATAATACTTATATATAATATATGTACAATTTTTGAATCGTTTAAGAATTAGGAACCATGACATTCGTACATTTATTACCTACGCATTGGGAAGAAACTAGTGGGCGGTGGTAAACTCAAAAATCCCAAAAAATATTAGATTATAAAGAAAAAAAATAGATTCTCTAACTTTTTTAAAATCTATATGTTCTTATTATCAAAAACAATGGTTTTAACATTTTTACGTATGTTTTGTATTTGTAACTTTTATTATTATTATTATTATTATTGACTATTTTTAAAAGAAACTTAAATGTATATTGAATTTTTTGAAATTTTATTTTTTATTGTATTTTGACTATAATTATCATGTTCGTAGCAGCTAAAGATATTAATTTATATTGTTATTATTATTATTATTATTATATATGATTGACTATTTTTAAACGCAACTTAAATGTATATTAAATTTACTTTATGATTTTTACTAAACCCGGGAGAGTTTACATGTTTCTGTTAGGTAGTACAGGAATAAATCCGGGAGAGTTTACACGTTTCCATCAGGTAGTACTGGAGTAGACCCGGGAGAGTGTACCATCGGGAGAGTTTACAATCGCCCATTTTTTGAAACCGCGTTGTATTTGTACTCATTTCAAACATACTCAAAACTTTGATCTCGTACTTTTCAACAAGTACCTACCGAATATTACCACACTTATTTGGAACTTTAAATTCTTTGTATTATTTTTATTATTACTATCAATAAAATCCAGAGCATTGCTGGTAAATGATTACAAAACGTTAAGTACACCTAGGTACCTTTTGCCTCAAATCGTTGAATCGGGGCATGAGTACAAGATGTTGTTGTGACCCAGCAGACCGTAGCGTAGGTGTAGACTGTTGCATGGCAAATTTCTTGAGATCGCCTTCGCTCCTACTCATTCGTCTAGACTCCAGCAGACGCCGGGGCGGCGTCGTCGAAGGCGAATCGGCCGAGGTCCAGTGATCGTAACGCGTCTGTTTGTCTTTGGGCGTCGGGGGCAACGGCGTAGTGGCAATTCTGGGCAACGGTCGCGGGCACGAAAGCAGTTCATTGTGCAACTCGTCAGCTTCGGTGCAATACAGTTCCAAATCACCATCACCCGCCTTGAACTTACTGTAACCATAAATGCGAAAGAAAATTCAACAAAACCGCTCGTGTAAACGTTATTACGTACATCTTTTAGATAATAATATTATGTGATAATTAAAAAAGTAATATTTGTTTTGCATTTTAAATGAACTAATGAAGAAAATATGTTTATTTCGCGTTAAAGTTGTAATTTTGTTATATTAATATAATAAAAAATAATTTTCTGCTATTTCCAATAAAATATTGTTACTTGGAACAATAATCACTCCACTTCGCACTTAGAGTTTTAATATTATACGGTTTGGCACTTGGAACTGTTATTAGCAAATGTTTAATTTTAACTAATATGAAATGATAAATATAATAATGGAATTTAATTAGGCTATAAATTTTGTGTAAGTATATAACATATATTTTTACACTTCATTATTATATATTACATTGAATGTTATATTGTTATTTGTGTTTCCTGAAAAAATTATTTTTTGGCACATGGAACGTTTGACACATTCACTCTTCATATGTCTTGTAAGCAGTTTCATAACATAGGATATAAGTATCGTCATTTGCCGCGCAGCACATTTCCCGGTTGTAACTGTGTGAGTGAGTAAAGGGGACTTAAGTACACCCCCCTGAAAATACGTAGCATCTGTTTGCACCTACAAATATATTTAAAGGTGTGTAGTATTACCTGTTTGTACGTATTGTGCAAACCCTGTGCAAGTCGTCAGATATAGCCGGCAAAGGTAAGTAACTACATTGTATTTGTGTCCAATGGAGTGTTACTTTGATTTTGCCAGTGTGAGGGTCTGTTACCAATATTTCTTCTGATTTTACAGATAAAGTACCATAAAGACCGGTTAAACCAGCTGCTTTAGAATGATCGTTGTCAATTATCGATACAGTGTACTCGTTTTTTGTCTCTGAAATAGATAAAGTTTTATTATTTATTTATGTGATATATTAATGAGCTTATTTTTATAAATTTCTAATATATGTGAACGATATAAATAACAGATTTACGTGGTCTTAATTATTATTTGTTTAAATTGACAGTATGGTAGCATCAAATAGCTTATTCGTATATTCAAATTTTAAGAGAGATATCTCTCTGGTGGCGTCATGAACATATATTTTTTTTAGAGAAATTGCTGCAAATTATTTTAGGTGGGCATGTAGTACTCTTGAATATAAAAATATTTTTATGTTTAACTACCGTTATTGATTAAACAATTTATTGATTTTAATTGAGTGCAATAAATTAGCATTATACAAATTAAATTTTACTAATTTACTCTGGGAGTTAGTACATAAGTAAAAAAAAAACGTGTGTTGTATTTTTATAGGTATGTAATATAGCTAGAAAGTTGCAAAGATCACATAATATTATATATATATTATGTAAAGTATTTTTTTTTCGGTTAAGTAATAAATCATATATTGTAATACCCGATAATATTATACGAGTAATATAAATTGTTATTGTAAAAATTATCAATATTCATTCCATAGTAAAAAATAAATAAATAAATATAGATAGGTTTTAGTTTTATGTATGAGTGGGTGAGTAATTTCAATATTTGTCTTAATTGATACAATTTGCACGACGTTATTGCATGTAACTATTACTATAATATTGTTATTTTAAATTATTACTGTTCTTATAATTTTATAATTTATCTAAATAGTTGTATTTTCTTGTCCTCGTTAATAATTCATTAAAATTACTTATCATTATTGGAAAAAAGATTTAAGTACTAACCTATTAATGTATTGAATAATTTTATAATTATCTTATTCAAATAAATGTATGAATTACTTTAATAACATTTAACTTGGGAGATTACTACAAATATTTTTTTATTAAATTCTTACCGGTTAGTCATAAATTTACGATTTATACAACATTTTATTTGAGATTTTTGTAACTCTCAAAATGTCAAAATTTACATTAAAATAGTTTGATTAAACAAAAAAAAAAAACTATTGTATGGTAATATATATACCTCCTACAAATTGCAATAAACTCATTTTATGAAAAATTTTGCTGTATGTATCTATAATGTTGTGTCGGTATGCATCGTATTATATTATTAAATTTAATTGAATCAGTATGTCACTGACTATTACTATAACCTACTTACCATTTATTAATTAAAAAATATATTAACATAACTAATATGCTTATATAATTTATTAAACTGTTATAAATAAAAAAATTAATAAAACAATTATTTGATAACCAAATATTTTATAATTATTAGATAATTAACTGTAAAAAATTATCAGATAACTATCAGCAATATTATATTATAAAAATATAATTATACATATTTATAATATTTAGTTGTCTTGTTATATACTTGATAAATTGATATTAACGATGTCAATTTAGTAATTTTATTATATAAAATGATGTTAAAATATGTAATACAGATAATTAATTACAATTCGTACTTATATGTGTCGGTGGTTTTAAAACATCTCTTATACATTTCATCCATTTTTGTGACTCTGTTTCTGATTTTCCAGCAAGAAAGATACATGGTTGTTGTTCCTTTTGTCCTGCATTAAATATTCCAAAACCGTAGGCTTTAGTCCTATATTAATGAAAAAATAAAAATATTAATTATACCTATGCCTATCAATGTTTTTATAATATTTTAGAATGATTTTAAACTTATAACAATTTATTAATCTAAGATCGAATTACATACATCAAATACCGAAAAAATGAGTAATATTATAAAATATAGTTGTATACATAATTTTGATGTTATTATAATAATTCTACATATCGTGTATATATATATATATATATATATATAAACACACATTTTTAATTTTTAAGTTTTTTTCTTAATTCAATTCTTACAACCTAAAATTTAAAATTATTAGAATTATAACCATACAATATCGTATTATTCACTTATTGTATGTATATAATATACGTAAATGTATGTTATATATTATTACACATATTATTTACTTATGTATCATAAATTCATAAATATAATATCTATACATATTTTTAATAATATTCAAATATTATACTTCAGTTTATCGACCTGGATTTAATTCTATAGATGATTGCATTGTTAGGAACTGTTAAACACGATGTGACGTTTCCTTTACTATGTCCTATGTTGATGATTATACGATTTTCGTTTTTGAGTATTTCACACCATTGGTTTTTCCATGCCTGTTAACATTTATCAATATACATAATTAAGAACTAACTATTAAATGTTCTATTTGTTGTTGTTAGAAATATTTGTGTATCTATTATTATTATTACTACTAAATTTGAGTTAAAATGTGTGAAAGTTATTTAATCGTATTTAACTATTGAACATTTAGTAAAAAATGTCTTACAAAATTAGTATTGAATTATATTTGTATTATTAAAATTTTAAAATTAATATAATAAAGCAATAATATGGTAAAATAAAGACATACCTTCCATGAACCGAATTTTCTACCTTTAGCTGGAACTTTTATATCAATTAAACCGCAGATCTCCATGATAGACATTTCAACTTTTTCTGTCTTTAGAAAATTATAAAATTTAAATTTAATAATATATTGCTATGTGTAATAATTATAATCGTTTGTTATGTAATAAAATAATAACTAATTAATATAATAACTTTTGATCACGTTTAATTAATTTATTTATTTTTTGTCTATTTGAAATTGGTTTAACATGAAATAGTCGTGAAATAGTTACTTGAAGGTAGATTTACATGAAGCACAAAATTACTATATATTGTTTATAGTTTGTCACTGTAGTCGTATTGTACTATTCTATACTCGGAATTATACATAGTAGTTATGATAAAATAAAAATCATTAACTTATAACTCATCACTCTTAAGTTTACCGTTTTAAAAAAGTGGTTTTGTCAGATTTACAGTATGCACCTAATTTTATTAACATTATGTAGGTATAAATAATGATAATTTTTTTATTGAATGTAAATATTTATTTAAAGTTAAAATTTGACCATGTGATAGAATAATTTTTATTGATTAAAAAAAAAAATAATCATATACTTGTAAATATATTTCTAAAAAATATTCTTATACACTATTATACATTTTTAATGAGTAGCTGTACCTACGACGTATTTATATGTAATTCAACAAAATGTTCTAAGTATTAAATATTTTTAATTGGTTCGACATAAAATGTTATTTTAATGATAAAAAATTTAAATTCAAAAGCTTTTAATATATTTTAGTTCAGTTATAAAAGGCAATTATTCAAATATTTTGAGATTTGTGCGTTTGGATGATGTACTTAAGTTATGTATTAATGTCAATGTCATTGCCTAAAGTCTACAGACATTTTTTTAATTTTTTTTTTTTTTTTTTTTTTTGGGGGGGGGGCTAAATTAAAACGTGGGCTTATAATATTTTAAACCTTTACAGCAATTATTATACGAATGATAATTTTAATACATAGTTACGTTGTACATAATACATTAATAATCTACGGACTACTGAAAGCATTATAAAATTTTATTGAAATTTTATTACAGCTCTTCAACATCCCTAGGTATTTAATAGATGTTGACATTTTCCTCAGTACGAACTAAATAAAATAAAACTAGACAGTGGTATAATAGTAGTAAGTCTACTATATTAAATTAATGTCGTAATATTTTGATTTTTAGAGATATTTTTACGGACAAATTAAAACAATAACTCAAATTCTATTGTTATAGTTATTATATTATTAATGTATTATTATGACTATAATTATTATTCTTCAATCATTTATGAATATCTGTATACCTAATTAAAATTTTCAGACTCATCTAATAAATTATATTATATAATGCATTGCTCAAAGCTACGTTATATTTCGACTATTGTTATTTGTTTGTCTCAAGGTACACAATCATAGAAACGTCACAATTAACGTTGTACCTTTATTATAATATTAAGCTGTAGATTCACCGTGAAGTTTCAAACACATATTTTGGTACTTCCGAGGTCCTTAGTTCAACGAATAATATTATCGAACCTTGAAGTTTTTCTACTCTAAATATGGAGGTTATGGCCACTTTTATTCTTATTGATGACCGGAAAGTAATGTATTTTTATCAGGCTTTGCCTATATGGTTATATATTAGTTATGGTTTATTATTAATTTTTTTTTTTTTGCACTTCTGTAATATTTTATTGTAAATATCATTGTAAGTGTAGCCCGTGTAGGGAAATTGTTTTCAATTTATTAACTAACCAACGATAATTATGTCATTATAATTCTAAATCAAGAAACCTTCACATTTTTGCCTTTTTTAAAAAGTACGTGTTAAATTAATTAATTGCTTGTTTAAATTATTTTTATTTTTTTGCTATAATTTGTTATGCAATGGAATAAAGCTTATTATATACTTACTAGTTATTATTTAACAACATTTTATTTTAAATGTGTCTATAATTTGGTCCATATTATTATGGTATAATATATTAAATCAATATTTTATTGTATTTTGTTGATAACCAATTTGTATAGAATTTTTTCTGATTAAAAACTATATATACCTACTTACTATATTTGGTTAGTCACATAACATACACATAGAGTACATTTATCTTTTTTTCTTGAAGTGTAAAAAGTGTTAAAGGATGCAACGTGGAGAATGTTTAACCGCTTGGTACTCGTGATGTACAGACTATACAGAGTAGGCACAGACAAGTAGAACATATTTTCAAGGCCGAATAATATGTACCTGTCAGCTGTCACAATATCTCACAGTAAATCGGTATGTATTACACATTGTTGTTTACTCTAACAGCAATTAATAGAAACAATTATCGTTTAAATTCTATTACGCGTTGAAGTTAAAATTTAAATATACTTAAGTTGTATACTCACTAGCCATTGCCATTACGCATTTAAGCCATGTGTAAGCTTGAGAAATTAAAACGCAAATCATAATCAGACTAATTACAGCTGCAATGATTAAGCAACTTTATAAAATAATATAAATAGTTTCAATAGGATTTTAGATTTAGATTGGTGGTAAATGATAACCGTAATCAAATCATTTTTTCTCCAATGATATTGTAGATACATGGAATAGTTGTATAACTGCTAAACTGTATAATATGACGTAATAATATATTTTAAAGATCTTAAATCTAAATTAACAATTTTTATATCAACTATAATTTAATTATTTATATTTTTAAATTATAAATAAAAACGTAGATGAGTTTATTTAAAATATTGCCATAATATTTTTAAAATAGATACACCTCATTAAGCAAACATTCAAACTATTTTAACTACTAATGGGATAAAATTATAAAAACTGAGATTATTATATGAAAGATGAAACCATACTTGAGACAAACCCGTAAGTTGCACGCTCATTGTCTGTTTGATAATTTTATGGTTTTATAATGTAAACAAAAGATTTTATGCATAAAAATACTTAATATAAAAACAAAACGAGTCATTTTGTTTTTAGTAAAAACTTTTAAGAACTAGGTACTGTATAATCTACCCACATAACTTATGTTAGAGAAATTGTTAGCAATTAAAATATTAACTATTATAAAAACTAATACCAATAAAAATTATAATTTACAATAACAGCCTAAATAATATTCACAGAAGCATATTACCTACGTAATGTAAAACAATAGTTATGATTTTTTTAATATGTTAAAATACTGGAAAATTGTTTTGAAAAAAAAATTCTTTCAGTTTATCATATTTTGTTTAAATTAATATAAAGTAAAATATAAATTTAAACTAATTTTGAATATCTAAATATAATATAAAGTGCATATAATTCATATAATATTTCCTCTATATTTAAATTCATAATGTATAATAAGTATAAAATTTAAAAGTGCCGGTGTGAGTGAGTTGATTTCCAAGACCTACTTTATGTAAGAGTTGATTCCTGGTTCATTATTAGGTATGTATGAGTTGATTCGCTATTGTTGTATATCAATATAAAATGCAGGAGCAATAGGACGAAGAAATCTAAGAAAAACCAAAAGAAAACAATTTTTTAAGAGAAGTGATATCGCGGTATACTGGTTATCAGTGGCGGATCTAGGAATTTTTATGGTGGGTGCTATTTCGTTAACAATAGTCCTTAAGTACTTACTATGTAAAATTTTGAAGGGAATTAATAATTTAGTTCTTAAACAGTAAGGGAATACAGTCTTGCATTGTGCATGTATTTTAGATTTATAACATAATTAAGTAATATAAAAAGTATAAGCTGCAATTTAACATGAATTATTTTTTAATAATTAGCCAATAGGTACCTACCTAACAATACAATGTTCTGTAATGTAATTTTTTGTTTTGGTTATTCGTTCCAAAAATTCGCCACTCGGCTAATTATTAGTAATTTTTAACAAAAATACGTGGAACAGTGAGTGCTTTAGCTCCCAATAAGCACCTTCTCCCCTAAATCCGCTATTGCTGGTAATCTCATAATCAGATACCAATTTTTAAAAACAATGTGTTATACATTTTTACCAAATTACTAATTTTTTTTTAATAAATGATAAATATGATTTAATACAATAAATAACTAATAAATAAAAATATGAAAAACTTAAAGAACAACAATTTTAATAAAATTGTCAGCCAACCTTCTCGTAGTGATTTTGACCCTTGGGTTACGCTAATAGGCTGAATATTTGAATAAATATTGAAAAAAATATATAATGACCCGGGAATCAACTTGTACGCAGCCGTAATAAAAGTACAGTTATTACAAAACTGTCTAACATATAGAATTAAGTACTTATCCAAGTATGTTTTATTTTTTTTTTTTTTTTTACTTAATAATAATTAATTACACTATTGATAATTTTAGATTTAGTGGTAATTTTTTCAATTTTCAGGACTAAATTATAAACATTAAATGATATTATTTATGGATATTTTTTACCAACTTAAAATTTATTCATACCTATATAGTTTAATTATAACATATAAATGTATAACTATAGGGATCTAATGTAATTATTGTAATACATAAAAGTGATATTATCAAATTTTCGATGATTTATGTATATTATTTCATATAATAATTATGACCAAACTAATATAGTATTAACTATAAATACACTCAAATATTAATTCAACTACAACTGTGTTTATGCGTATTATATTCAATAATTAATCCACCATGATAAGTCCTTCAATCATAATATTTTTGCAAAAAAAAAACTTAAAGGCTATAATCAAGGTTTGACGATTTGGTTTTTATAAAATTGTATTATTGAATTTCATAACTATTCATATATCTCGACATAATTGCTTAATATTTTTGTTTAATATATTTAAATTATAATGCATAGCTTAATAAAAAAAATACATAATATTAATTAACAGTTACCTTGCTTCCTATGTATTTTATATTCTAATAAAGTAGTGATAATTCTATTGGTTTAATTATAATATATCCCGCATCCAATAATAAATAGTACATTGAGATCAGATGTTAAATAACAATCAATAAATTAATTTTATTTAAATTATTAAATAACTTCTTTATAATTTTTATTATCAATATAAACATTTTTAACAAGACAAGTATAAAAACTACTTGGTCAAAAATTTCAATATATTTCAATTAAAATCAAATTATTTGGTTAATTTTTTTTCTAAATTACTATAGTATTGAATTATAAAATTCGATATTTCCTGTACGCAAAATAGATCATAAGTTAATAGTCTAAAATATTTAACCAAACTTGACCTAATCTACTCATTATTGTTACAACAATACAATTTGTCTTAAATAATATTTAAAAAAATAAAATAAAATAAAAAGACAAAGTTAATATTTAAAATACTTTTATTACCATTCTAAATCAAATTGACATGAAAATTAATTAATTTGAATGTAGATAATAATTAATATATAATTGGTGTTTTTTCAAACGATTTATAAAATAGATATAGATAAATGATTTAATGTATATTAAAACCAGTTATGATAGCCGTGAGCTCAGTGAATTTATTAAGTAAAAGTAAATTTACTTCAATTTATCCGATGTACTTTTATCGTTGTTTAAATCGATTAACTCTTAATATTAATTTGTTCTACTAGCATTATAATAATTTTAATTTAGATTATTAAATATTAATGTACAATTTACTATTTTAGTCTATACCACTTTAGTCTATATTTTAAGTTTAATGTTTCTTATTAACAATTTTAGTTGTACTTGTATATCCGTCAGGACCATACTCTAATCGATTATTTTGGGTTGTTTGTCCGAGGCCCGTGCTAATAAAAAAATTTGAAAAATTTAAAATCCTAATGAGTCCCAGCTGTACTCAGGTAACCGACCCAAACCACCATTCAGAACTTGCTTAATTGTTAATATTGTATCCACGTTTTTAAGTATATTATATAAATTAATTATTAGTTTTTGTATCAAATAAGAAAAATTTTTCTTTTAAAAATCAGGCCTAATCCTAAAAATTATATGGTTGCGTGAAAGATTTAGTTTGTCCGAAGTTCGCCAAAGCTGATTATGGCCCTGATAGTTGTATAGCCCATAAAAGTAGTAAGAACGGGAAAAAAATTTATAATTTTACATTTTCCACTGTACAATAAATCACTTGTCAGTATTGCTTATTTACCTACCTATTGATAAAGTAAGAATATTTTATGTTTTTGTTATCTATAAGGTAGTTTTAATTAAAACAAACTCAATTATTAATTTTCTTGTTACTTTTTCTTTAATTATATTTTAAAGTTTATTTTCTTAAAGATAAAAATAATCTTAACACTTAACATGGCAATTGAAAATATTTTATTATTTAAATTTTATATAGGTAAATAATTTACAATGCATTTTTCAGTTCTAACTTATATTTGTTTAATTAAAATATACATTATAATGCATAAATATTGCATTTTTCTTTGTAAGACTTGATTAATTATTTGTTTTTTAAATTAAATATTTGAAAGCTATTACTATATTAGATGAGAACTTTTGATTATTACTTCTTTTCTGTCATGGTTAACTATTTTTTGATTATATATTAGATTAAATACAAACAAAATCATGGCCGAAGGAGAAGCCTAAGGAGACTATAACCACCCTTATTGACTATTTTTATTTTATTCTATATTATAATATTATAATACTTTATTAATGTAAGTACTATTTTATATATAAATATTTTTGTCTCATTTATAAAAACATTTTACAAAATTCCCAAGTGAAAGTATAATAATCAATGGGACTTAGACCTCTCCATACAAAATTCCTAGCTATGACATTGGTATATTAGTTGCTTGGTTTTTTATGGGTTTAACTTATGTATAATTTTATTTATATTAGGTTAGATTATTTGTGCATAAAAACTAAATCGAAAATAGATTTCTAAAAATGTTCTGTTTCAATTTATACGTAATGATAAAAATAAAAACAAAAAAAACTTAATATTAAGGTTAGGTTTATCATAAAAATTTAATGAAAATAATCAACGAAACAATAAGTAATAATATAGCAAAATTACAAAACACTGTATGAAATATAAATAGTTACGTTAGAATAATTAAAATAATATTATAATAATAATAAAAAAAGAAACAAAAATTATTTTTAAAATAATATCTACATAACAAATTTTACTACATCTCGGCTGATATGAAGACAATAGTTTTGTTAATAATATAACATATTGTAGAGTAGATTAAATAAGTAAAACTAAAATGATAGTAAAAGACATAATTATGTATGACATAATACAAATAATAAAAAATGTTTTCCCGACATTAATATATAAAACATACTTATTTAAAAAAACTTAACGATTGTTTTGATAACAATAATTTCTTCAATAGGTTTTGCACTAAATGATATAAATTTATTATTTTATTTATGATAATGATACATCATTTTTAAATAATTGAGAAATACAATATAATTCTATATTTAAAATATTAAAGTTCCAGTAGAAAATTCAAAATGTTAGACAACATATTTTTTTAAATCTAAAATTTTTATTTTCATATTTAAATTTTTTAAATTACTAAATATTGGTATTTCAACGAATATTTAAACTTAAGCAACTTAAGTAAATTATAATTTATATTCTTGGAACACATTTTTATTATTGTATGTGAAAGTATAACTAAAATGTCTTGCATTTATAAGGTAAAACTAGTGGCTAACAGCTAACAACTGGAAACAGTGAAAACTAAGAAAAAATTAAAAAACATCGTTATCTGGATACCGGTTTTATTAATACTATATCGTAGAAGTTTTGTAATGATCAATTTGTCAAGGATTTTATTGCATTTAATAATTTCAAAAAAATTAAAAATACATTTTTTTCGAGCTTTCAGTACAATCAAGATAGACATAAAATATAATGTGATGTTTATAATTTACAAGTACGAATAACGCGTTCCCCAGAAATGTAATTAAATGTATACTTTCAACAAATTATGCAAATTATACAAATTACGAAGAAAATAGTTAAAAGCTTTAATTTAAATTATAATGATTTCTTTTTTGAAACAATAATATCTAGTTTGATGTAAAAATATTAAGTACATTTTTGAAAATAAATATTCTATCACATTATTTTATTGTATACAATATACCTACATGTATGAATTAGGTATTAAAAAAAAAAAAAACTGTATTTATTTTTATTTATATATACACTGATAGATGGAATTAAAATTGTTGAAGCATTAGTAAGAGAAAATGTGGTATAAAATAAGTTATTAAGTAAACAAGAGATATTTTAACAAGATAATATGTAAAATATAATTATAATATGAATCTTTATATATATATATATATGTATCGTATCTCAAATCATATACTTTTTAAAAATAAAATAAAATTAGTTAAATAAATTGTTAAGAATTTTATTACTAATAGCTAAAATGGATTTGGAATAATACAGTACTGGTGAGTAATATTTACAAATAGTAAAATTCATTCAAATATCTAATATTTCAATAGAAACTGAATAATAATGTTTAGTCCTCCTTATTATAAAGAAATTCTTAGAATGATACTACATTTTATTATATCTTGAAATTTAAATTTAGTTTAAAAACTGAAAAATCTATCAATATATACTTTGTATTAATTGCATTTGCTAAAATAAAATTCAAAATATTTACCTTTAAAGATGCATTCAAGTCTCCAAGATTAATGCAACTGTATACAACATAAACAATTTAAGTAAATACGCACTTATGGATTTTTATTTACAAGTCAATATATGATAAATAAATTTTATGTTAACACCTAAAAATCTATTACTTAATTTAACATTTAGCATAGACGACGTATTGTACGAACAACAACAATGAATGAGACCTAATACGATATTAACTACGCTCAAGTGAATGTGAATGATTTGATTGCAGTTTTAGTACTGCTGTCGGTACTCGGTAGTTCATAATCGTTCGTATCTACGTCGTTGTTACTTGTAGTCATCGTCACTGTGACGAAATAGTCGTGCAACTAGATAATATTGGTAGTTGGTACCGGACAGGAAATAAAATAAAACAACAATACAATCATACGCTAATAATTGTTTTTTTTTTTTTGTGCTAGAGGATTTTTTTTTAAATTATATTTACACTCAAAATGCGTTTTAATAGTATAAACGCTGCAACATAGGTATATCGCGTTATCTTTACAACTATGTACCTATGTACTCGTTGGAAATATAAACTGTAACTAAAAACTATTTCTATCAACGCTTGCAATTTGGTAGTCAACAATGAACCGAGTTTGGTCGATACTTGGCCTATATACTACATCGTATATTATATATTTGGCAATGTTAACAAAAACCATTTGTCTTTTAACTGCATTAGTGTTGCATCTGTTAAAAAGTAAACCTACGTTTGAACAGTTCAAATAAGAAACAATCATGAATGAAATGACAAATAATATGGGAACTTTAAGGGAAGAATCAGAGAAAGAAAATCGAAACGAAACAGATGCCATATTAGAAGATAAAACTTTAGTTGAGGTAGGTGCATTTGCTAATTTTTAATGTAATACAACGAATTAAATATATTAATAATAAAAAAAAAATTAACTACTTTTATTTAGTTTTAAATATCTTATGACGTAGAGAATAATTTTTTTAACGTAGAATGCTGCCATTATTTAATAATATAATTTAGCTAAAAATAATTGAGTGGCAAGGGGTGTAGTTATATAAGTACTTATGTTTACTAATAAAAAACATTAATAATTTATAAACAATTATTTTGCTTAAAAAGTTTATACTTGATCAATTTATGAAGTTGTAGGCTTATTAATATACTTCAAGGTGAAAATAGTAATAAGTATAAAATATAAAATATAATATTAAATTAAATATGCATAAGTTGTAATAAATACTTTTAAAAACAATGAGTGTTTTATGTTTGAAGAGCACTATTTAAGTCTTAATAAATGGTTTTATTAATAGTTAACTAATAAATCACTTACGTGTTGTCAAAATGCAATTTTTGAAAACTTTAAATCGCTCTCAAGCATAGAGTTTTGTATTAATCAATATTTTTTAATCACTAACATTTATTTAAAAAAATCTTAGTATTTGTTTGTGAAAAATCGTGGCTTTACATTTAAATTTCTATAATTAACCACCAAAAATTCTTCTAAAATATTTTAAGAAAATATAAAATTTACAAATCATTTTAGATGTTTCCAAATAAAATAACGTTGGTGTTTTACGATTTTTTTTTTCTATTTTCAATAGTTATACAATCAAATGGTTGTAACCTAGCCTATAGGTATATTTATAATCTTCCTATATTATTTATATTGACTTATAGTTAATATGAACGTATCATAAAGTGGCAAGAATATATTTGTAATATAAATCTTATATATAAATAAATATTAATATATTTATAATCTTATAATCTATATATTCAATCTTTGAATGGATTTTAATATTTTATAATAATTTAATTAGGGATGGAAAATAATAATATACATAAAATTAAAAATTTTAAGTCTATACGATTAATATATTTTAAATTACAACAAAGTAACTAAAATCGTTATATTATATAGGTAATATCCAATTTCATCAAAATTTAAACTTCAAATATTTATAAAAAAAAAATAAAGTTTTGGTAAAAAGATCTTACGAGGAAAATTGAATAACATTTTTTAGCATTATGTATTAAAATTATAAATATAAACTTATAATTAAAAATAATCTGAAATTTTTCTGGTTGTAGTTTTTTTATAATGTATTATTTATCGAGAAAGAAATATTGTCAACTATTTATTAAATTAGTGTAATAAATATAATATATTATACTTATATACACCTTCATGGTCTGCAAGCAAAAAATAAATAAATAAATACGTATTATGCCTAATGTATAATATTTACTATAAAAATATTTAAGATTTATTTATAAAATGAATAGATTCACATTATAATTCCTAATGTAATAATTTAATGTATTCATTCCAAACACTGTAATGTTGTCAATAAAATAGATCATTTATAAAATAATTAATTCAAATTAGTTTTGATTTATTGAATAATAAGCTTAATTATAATGATTATAAAATTTTAACAATCTGGTCTTTTTTTTTTTAAATAATATGAACACCAAAACAATTTTAACATACCTACCTACAAATATAATATTTGAAAAAACAAAACTTGTTATTAATGTATAACTATGATAAATAAAACGCGATGTAAATCTTATAATATAATATAAATTTTTTAATAAATTATTCATTAAACTGTTTTATATAATTATATAGTTGTGATGTAATTTACATTTTTTGATCATCTTTAGTTGATAAAATATAACAATTTAATGCTTTTTCCCGGTATTATATATTTAGAATATGTATAGGCGGGTTACTACAATAGGTAATAAATCTACATAAAAATATTAGTTATTACTTAGTTTAATAGTATTAACTATTAAATATTATCATACTATATTTTACTAGCTGAAATATCAACGATTTAATTGTATGTTTGACAATATATAAAATGTTATAGTATTAAAAACTACATAAATATTGTTGTCAGCAAAAATCATATCAAATTATATAATAAATCATTTGCATAATGAAATACCACAATCTAATATTTATGTAATCCCGTACTGCAGAGAATTTTTATGTACAGAAAAGGAATTTTGAAAAAGTAGCTAATTATTAGTCTTTTAAATCATAATAAACGGATTACTATACCAACATTTTGCAGAACTTTTATGTGCTGATTTGAATTTAAAACTCATCTAACATTTTAATATTTATAAGTTATAAATAACTCGTAAACTACTTGTTTGAAATCTATAAAAACTTGCTTCAGTTATTGCGTGCCTTCACAATATGATGTATTAATTTTATTTGTAATTGTATCTTTTATCATATTTCGTGCAGAAGTATTTCTTCGATCTCCAATATTGAATGTAATAATTTCAAGTTAGCAAATTTAATTTAGTTTATACTAAGAACTCAAAAGTATAAAATGTTCAGTACATTTTTAATGACAAAAATAAGGTGGAAAATAAGAATCAAATTTTCCAAAACATCTTTTACATTAAATAATGAAATAAATTAATTTTTGAAAAATGTATTATTTTTATCATTTAAAAAAGTAAAGAGCTTAAAAAATTATGACGATTAAGATAGTTAAAATCTTGTTTTAATGCTGACTTTAAAAAACAATGTTTTCAAAAACGTTTATACTTTTTGAGGTACCTTGAATAATTTATAGTGTACACACATACATATTATACAAGTTACTCGCATTGTTAAATGTTTTTTAAAACTAATATAGTAGGTACTTAAAATAAATTACCCACGAATTTTTACTTAACTTATTCCATTTCTGTAGTTAGAATTATTACACTAAAGTGATAAAATTTGATACGTTGATTATTATTTTTGTTTATTCAACTTGTTTAATATTATACATTTACTCCGGACGTTTCCGTATAGTTTTTTTAATATACACACCCACTCCGATACTTCTTCATTTCTCCTATATCTATAGTATTTCTCTACGTCTTATTGACATTTTAAGATATATACTACGAAATATGTTGGATAAGGAGAGATGCTAATACTCCATCATCGGTGATGATACATTTCTATTTTGTCATAATATTATGTATCGTTATAATTACACTGCAATTTAATGAATTATAATATATATATATATGTATATACATAATAATTAATCAAGATTTAACATGTTCACAGTAACTTTTTATTAGTTGAATTACTAATAAACTTCTGATAACACAATAGGTTTATATAATATATGTGTATGCGTATGTGTACATTGAGTTATTGACCATTTAATTTTAAAATGTATACATGACATATATTTTTGGATACTAGGGTTCTAGTGCTTTATACACATTAATTGTCGAGGAACCTGCACAATCAGATGACAGTTCAAGTTACAGTATGACGTTGAGTGAGTTTGAAGAAGACAGATGGTATAATCCGACATCGTTGCCTGATGACGCAGCTGAAATAGAAAGCATCCAGAGATTGATTAAATATATAAGAGTAACAATACAATAAGCATATTAAATTATTTAAATTATCATTGTACAGTGTTGTTTTTTTTTTTTTAATATAACATGTTTTATGTATTGATTGAAGGTAGGAAATCAAACGGCTACAGCAATCGCATTGGCTGCGTTAGTAGACTACAATTTACGTGACGAATCCACACAAAGTATTGTGATTGCTTGTGGTGGCACAGAGCTTTTAATCAATTTATTAGAAACCGACCACAATGAATGCAGAGTAATGTTGTACGGATTAATATAGATATTTAAAATTGTTTTATAGTTCATTTGAACATTAATTGTTTACAATTTAATTATAGTGTAACAAATATTTTAACATTTATGTAACATTAAAAAAATACATGTTTTTAATTAAGTATTTATTGAAACATTTAAATTAATTATTTAAAAAATAATATTACATCGATTTTTATGGTGTTTTAACTTTAAAATTTTCAAGATAAAATTCAGTAACTAAAATATATTTTACAAAGTAATTAACCTGTATATATCCATGACAATAATCACTTTAATTGTTGCATAATAATCATAATATAATAACAATAATAGTAATATAAACCAAAATTAAATAAATTTAATAACTTCAACAACCAAATTATTATTATTATTAAAAAAGGTCTTAACATAATAAATAATTATCACCATAATCTCAGTATTCGTAAATATTGATACTTCAAGTATGCCCATTGTAGTTCAGTAATTCAATTAACATAAGTAGTTTTCATATCATAAAAACAATTTGAGTAAATTAAATGATTTATTAAAATTAAATATACAAAAATGATTTTTTTTTAATACTTTGAAGTATAATTATGTAATATCTAAATAAAATAAAATATTTTAACATATAGGATA